CGTGGCTCAGGAGGAAGTTTGGGCTCAGACTTTGAGGCGTAGCCCACCAAGGATCCAGCCACATGTACATGAAAATGGTTCATACATGTGTATTGCCTCTGGGTGTTTCTTTCAACACTCATATAATGGTAAACAGGTAGGTTGTTCCATATGTATTTTATTTATAATCAATATTTCAACCCTATGTGCATGCTACATGAAGTTTACTGGGTGTAAAAGCCTGGCTTGGGAGCTCTGTGCTTATAGTGTTTGCCTGGCAATCAGAAGGTGGATGGTTTGATTCTGAGAAAAGTCAATAGCTTTTCAGTCGGAAACTGTACCCAGCTGTCCTTAATCTTTAGGTTTTAATCGATGGTCTTGGCTAAGTAAAAAAAGCTTATCTTGGTAACATGGATACACGGGGCATCTCATTCCATCTACACTCATCCTTCACTGGCATTTCGGTTGAAATATAAATAGGAAAACAGTACTGTGTTCCTGTCTCACATGTTAAAATTATGTACATTCTGCAGGGTGTCCACATTCAAGAAAGTAAGGGATAGTAGTCATGGAAAGTCATGGGAAAATATTCTGGTCATTGAAAGTCAAGGAAATAGGCAAACATTATGTCAATATTCCTGTGGATATCTTGTGGATTTTAGGTATTAGAGTAGAACCTTAACAAGAAGACCCTCCATAAGTAACCCATGATAACCAGTGTCATATGTAAATACTCCTAATTCTATATTACCACCCCTAATGACATATTATTGCAAACCTCTATAAGAAGACAACGTTGATTACAAATCTTACTTGATAATCGTCATGAGAAACTTGTTATCAAGGCTCTACTCTATTCCTACCATTATAATCTGTTATTGAGGTTTAAATTGTAAAAAGTATGTAAAAACTTACTAAATGTAACTTAATAATTTTTCAGGTATCGTGGGATCCAAGAGATGGGAGCCTTAAGGTCACCATCCAAAACTTTTAAAACATCAGTTTTTCCACCACTGTATGTGAATATGCAATATAGGTGTAAAACGAATCTCTATGAGAGTATTCTAGGTTCCTAGTAACTTATAAGGCTGACTTGTTCCATGTGTTTTGCATAAATATTTAGTAATATTGTATGTAAAACAACTCTTTACGGGTATTTTAGGCTCACAGTAATTTCTAAGACTTACACATATTTTCCATGTAATTGTAAAAGTTTTTTAGTTATATTTTAAAAGAAATGCAGTTATATGAGACTGAAAACTAATATTTCCCATAATGGATCGCAAACATTTGCTTGAAGAGTGCTCTTAACAGCAGTATTTCTGAATATTGTAATTTTTGTTTTATTTTAAGGTAGGCCTATATGTTATAGCTGTTGTTTTCAAAACGGTTGTTCAAAATGCCTGATAAATAGGCTAAGGCTAAGATAATAATAACAAGGGACCATCTACAATATATACCATGTATTATTAATATTTCCGTTACTATTACTATCAAATGAGATGGGTACCTTGCTTGATTGTATAATATTTCTATATAGTTGTAAATATTTGTTTGTATACGTTCATACTGTTGTTTGCGATATTTCAATAAAAACTAAAGCAATGTATGGAATTCTTGAAACCCATAAAAAAAACTTTAGCACTATGGCCAACTGAGATAGGATTAAATCTGGATCTACTTCAAAACCCTGGTTGCAACAAGGAACTACGTAGACATGGGTTTGCCTTTTGTAGCTTAATAACATGTACTTAGCAATAAGTACCATGTAAAATATTTGTATGTAAAAATATCTATTATCTACTACTAATACACTCTATGGGACCTAACTGCGCCTCGTGGTCAGTAAATATATTTTTTGTCGACCACTAATTCTTGATAAAAACTGCTCCCTGTTATTGCTAAGTCCCTCTCTACACATAGCGGACATTTTAACACTTGATAAGCGCCTTCATCTCTAACTAGCGATATTAAAAGTTTGCATAAAAATGTCTACATTAATCCAAAAAAAAACTATTATGCTGGCTACTTTTGTAAGATAACATGACATCAACCACAACCAGATATCAATTTCACCAATATTACCAGTACCTGTTCTCGACCATAAATTAGTACCTTAAAGCAGATTCGTAATACACCATCAAATTTATGTGTATGTAAAGAGATTAGATAAGGGTATGGGCAATCCTAAAATGCTATGGGAAAGGGAGGGAAACAGGCCCGTGACGTAGGAAGTGGTGAAGGAAGTAGTCAAAGCGAGCTGTCCGGAGTGTGGGAACTGTTTATGACGATAAGATAAGGGTATGGGCAATCCTAAAATGCTATGGGAAGGGAGGGAAACAGGTTCGTGACGTAGGAAGTGGTGAAGGAAGTAGTCAAGGCTAGCTGTCCTGAGTGTGGGAACTTTTTATGACGATTAGATAAGGGTACGGGCTATCCTAAAATGCCATGGGAAGGGAGGGAAAAAGGTCCGTGACGTAGGAAGTGGTGAAGGAAGTAGTCAAGGCGAGCTGTCTGGAGTGTTGGAACTATTATGACGAATAGATAAGGGTATGGGCAATCCTAAAATGCTATGGGAAAGGGAGGGAAACAGGCCCGTGACGTAGGAAGTGGTGAAGGAAGTAGTTAAAGCGAGCTGTCCGGAGTGTGGAAACTGTTTATGACGATAAGATAAGGGTATGGGCAATCCTAAAATGCTATGGGAAGGGAGGGAAACAGGTCCGTGACGTAGGAAGTGGTGAAGGAAGTAGTCAAGGCGAGCTGTCCAGAGTGTGGGAACTGTTTATGATGATTAGATTAAGGTATCTGCAATCTTTAAATGCAATGGGAAGGGAGGGAAACAGGTCCGCGACGTAGGAAGTGGTGAAGGAAGTAGTCAAGGCGAGCTGTCCGGAGTGTGGGAACTGTTTATGACGATTAGATTAATGTATCTGCAATCTTTAAATGCAATGGGAAGGGAGGGAAACATGTTTGCGACATAGGAAGTGGTGAAGGAAGTAGTCAAGGCGAGCTGTCCGGAGCGTGGGAACGGGAACTGTTTATGACGATTAGATTAACGTATCTGCAATTCTGAAATGCTATGGGAAGGGAGAAAAACAGGTCCGCTATGTTGGAAGTGGTGAAGGAAGTAGTCAAGGCGAGCTGTCCGGAGTGTGGGAACTGTTAATAACGATGAGATTATGGTATCTACAATCCTAAAGTGCTATGGGAATGGAGGGAAACAGGTCCATGACGTAGGAAATGGTGTAGGACGTTGTAAAGGCGAGCCGTGTGGAGTTGGGAACAGATTTATGTATCTCTGATACTAAGACTGCTTTCAGAGTGAACTAATGATTTTCTCCGAGCAAAGCTCGGTCCCCAGGTACTTTCGATTGGACACTCCAACATCAGACCCAATAGGCGAATTGGGTAATTATTTGGTTCAGCAAGTTAGGGAGAAAAACAAAGGTGTGTAGCTACTCTAAAACATAGCTTTTAAAAAAGTTTAAATTTAATATCTCCATAAATATTGGTTTTAGGTAAAGATGTTTGAAACAACAGTTGTAGGAAAACTAATCAGAAATAAAACAAAACAAATTTCTACACGATGGTATAATAAGTGAACACTGCAATATCCAGGTTTGTAGGAAGGAAGCTCAAGGGATAAGAAGTGGGGACTTATAGGGAAAATACACCTCTTGTGGTTCTATCACATATAAAGAAATCCAGCATTCCACCATTTGGTAGCGATTAAAAACCATTATTTACTGGAATTAATGTAGGTTTAATTTTGTTCACATGTATTTCTATTTTAGGAATTACAGTGTAAATTATTGTACATGACTTGCTGATAATGAAAAAGTCGAATGAAGGTTTACTAATTGAAAAAAATAGTTCTGTTCATAAAATAAAATTATAAATGCCTCAAATTCGATAATGTAATTTTTTAAATTATGAAATAAAACTGTCATAACCTAACCAAACTTGCTGATGATGAAAAAACCTAATCAAAAAGTTATATAAAGGTTATATATCTCCGGTGGGTTTCGTACCGTCTGCACGATTTTTATTTCAGCTGCAGTTTTTTAATATGGACAAAATGAGAGTTTAAAAATTAGAAATAAAAAAAAATAAATAAAAATTTTAAAATTTAAAATTATTTTTTTAATTATAAAATAAAAATGTTATAACCTAACCTAACTAACCAAACTTGCTGATAATGAAAAAATTGAATGAAGGTTTACTTATCAAAAAAATAGTTCTGTTCATAAAATAAATCTATAAATGCTTCAAATTCAATTTAAAATTTTTTTATTATAAAATTAAACTGTTATAACCTAACCAAACTTGCTGATAATGCAAAAATCTTTGATAAAAAGTTATTGCCACCGAGAGGTTTCGAACCTGATACCTTTGGCTTCTCAGCCCAGCACGTTATCCATTAGACCACCGAGGCCGATGGCAACTAGCCGTATCGTTGCAGTAATGGTGGTCCCTCAGCCAATAGAATACTCCGATTTTGACAGTATTAAAAATACTGCAGCTGAAATAAAAATTCAGCGTACCGCCTACCTTCAGAACATCAGCCCGGTGCGCTATCCACTACACCACCGAGACCAAGGGCTGGAGAGCTCAGCAACGTGTCACGTCGTTGCTGTAATGGTGTTCACCCAGGGTTCGCTCAAGCGGTGGTTTTCTGTCGGGAAGGTTTCATATGTTAAATGTGCAACCGATAATGGTATAAATGAAATTATGCACAAATGACATCTCTGGCTCAGCTTATTAAAGATAAGGTTAAACCATTTGATATGACCCATAAATTTTAAACTGTCCTAGGTTTGCTACGATTATTAGTTTACACATTCGATCATGTATGTTGTATCGTTTCTTTATAATCCATGCCACAATAGCTGTTCGCTGTTCAATATCCTTGATTCCATTCTTCAATTCCGCTGGTCCCATTCGTTTAGTTCCCACTGTTCCACGTTGTTGTGACTTTGCGACTTTTGCGTCTTGCGAAAGTTGTTTTGTTTGGAGTTTGGCCATTATTGTTATCTACGGTTATCAATTAGAGGTTATTTAAATTAAGTGTTCCAAAATTGTGATATATTTGCCCAACTCTTGGGTTAACCGTGTACAATAAAAGTTAAGTGATTTTATCTCTGATTATATAGCTTAATTTATTTAACAAAACAGAATAACTTATCGCAGTTTCGTCCTATTAAGTCATTTCGTCATATGTCAGAAGAGTTGCAGAGTTCAGACCTAATCCTAACCTCATAAAAGATAAGAGCTCATAGGAAGTTTAACAAATTTTGACTAGCGACACTGACATTTCTTTCTTTAGGCTATCTTTGTAACATCGCATACATTCATTCATCTTTAGGCCTAGTTCATTTAGAACAGAAGAGACAATCGAACGTAACTGGGCCTTAAGCTAGGTTATTTACCTACATTGCCATGAGCCAAGATCTGGCATTAGGGTCAGATAATACTAACACTCTTGAAAAACCATTGTCCTACTTAAAAAGACCACTATTTGATCCAAAGCAGTATGAGTTGGATCCCAATTTCCGATTGACAAATTTTGCAGATTTAAAAGGTTGAGGGTGCAAAATCCCACAGATGGTTCTAGAGAACCTTCTGCGGGAGCTGGAGGGCGCTGAAAAAGAGCAGCAGATGGATCCATCCAAAATAGGTAAGTCAGCTACTTTGTAAATACAGTAGGCCTAAGCTAGAACCTCGATAACAAGTCACCCTTGATATGTAACAAAAGTCATTTTTAAATCCCCTTGAAATTATTTTACTTATCTGTAGGCCTAGTCACATGTGATTGCACACCTCGATAAGAAGTCAACCTTGATAACAAGTCCTTTTTTATAATCCCTGAGAGTCTTGTTATCAAGGTTCTAATTAAACAGATGACATTTACATAAAAGCCAGCTAATCATTAGATGTGCTGCTGTTTGAAAATATCTAGGTAAGTTTGAGAAGTGATTTTAGATATTTTCCTAGTGGCAAGAGCTAGAAAATTGAATTAATTCGTGGAGTCCTGCAAGAAAGAACAAAGGGCTTCAAACAAGGTAGCGAGTTATTCAGTTAAGTTAAGCTTAGCGATGCGTGGCATCAATATAGCCTAAACTTAGTTTAGGTTGGATAGGCAAAACATCAAGTATGTAACTTCTATAATAGGTGCAGTATATTGAAATCAACACTTAGCCCATTTGTATTTATTTTTGTAGACTACAGTATCGTGTTTCTCTGCACTTAGCATTAAGTACTAAACTTGTGAAGTTCAGGGAATCATAATCAAGGCTCCGTCCAAGGTAACTAAGGACTAAATTTCTCTACTGCCTGGGCCTGCATCAAAGTTTTTGAAAATTAATTGTTTTGTTAGACAACTTGGGAAAACATTGACGATGTCTATTGTAATAGGGTGAAGTGGGGTAAGTGTAACCACGTTTTGGCATAGTTCAGCTTTGACCTCAAATTGCTATCTTGTTATACATGATATAGTTCTGAAAATTTTTATGCATAATCTTTGACTAATGGGCTTTAAAACAATATGCATTGTTATTAAAAAATAAAATCTTTTTTGGTAAAAAAAAATTACTAAAAATATTGCGTTTTGTGGTTACACTTGCCCCAGGGTTCGGGGCAAGTGTAACCCCTGCCTGTTAAAAATATATAAAGCATTGAAAAGGAGACATGGGGCAAGTGGCCAGATTCCAAATCTTTTGCTGATTCCAAGACTTTTTGGCTTATTAAAATATCTTAATTTTTACTCAAGTTACAAACTTTTTCGTGAACCTCTTCTCGCGTTTTGTGAAAAACGCAAAACATGCAAAACGGAAAGACTACTGTTAAAACATAAAAAACACAACATTAAATGGTACTTACATGGTTTTTAATGTTGTTTAACATGTGTAGAATAAATCTCACAGTAATATTGTTTTTTTTTTATTTACATTTGGGCAAGAAAATCCTAAATTATAAAACGGGGTAAGTTTAACGTAAAAGTTATATAATCACTTAAGCAGCTCACTCACAAACAATAATGTTTTTCTACAAACCAACTAACAATATGTGTAAAATTTTACCTTATCTTCTAAATTCCTAATTTTATATTTACAACAAAGTTTTTTTTTCTTTACTGAACATTATATGAGTTACACCCTGGTTACACTTGCCCCGAATCCAAAAAGCCACTTGCCCCGACTGCAAAATTTCAGGGGTAAGTGTAACCACGCTTGTAAAATCTAAACAATAAGAAATAGCACAGATCTGAAATTATATTCAGGTTCTACATGCAAAAATTAGTTTGTAAGCCAAAAACTGTCAAATTTACATTAAAAATGTGAGTATGAAAAATTGTCAAAGTTTGAGGTCGGCACTTGCCGATGGAGTGGAAATGTAAGCCTATTTTAAACATTCTAAAACTATTACTTGCACATATTTTATATGCATTCTTAAGGCTAAATATAACAAAGGAAGATCCAAATAACAAGATATGATAGTATTTAGGTCCAAAATTAACTTATCAGTTGAGTGATAAGCCGTGGTTACACTAGCCCCCCGGTTACTCTTACCCCACTTCACCCTACCTGTATTACTAATGACAAATAAAGATCTTGAATCTTTGTGTTGTTGGGACTTGAGACATTAGATAGGTTCTTGAATCTATGCTCTTTTCTCTGTTGACCATGTCATATTCAAGCTAAAAACTTGTTTGTTTTATTTTGTCACCTAAATTAAATCATCAAGGACGTCACAAAATACCAACATGAAATTAATGTATATTGTAGTAACAATAAGTACCTAGCCCATTTTTGTGTTTAGCCCAGGGACATATTTAAGTATCTGCCGCCTCTAGGCAACAAAGTTTGCGTCCCCCCTCTCAACTTGTCAGCGCTCTACTGATTTGTCGTAATATACAACAAACTAATATGAGTAGACGCGATGAAATAGTCAGCTGATTAAACAATAGACGATACCCATAGTGCACTGCGAGGGGGGGGGGATGAACTCTTAGCCCAGCCAGGAATCGTACAGCTAGTTTCTAGGAAAGTTGCTCCCGTTCTCCTCAAGGTAATAGGTGTTCAATTTAGGTTCGTGCAAATTAAATTCATTTGAGGTGTTAGCTGGTTAAATCATATTTTCATTAAATCGTTAAGCCTATATCCTTCAGGGATATATTTGCAGCGCGTGGTGAAAATAAAATCAGTTTTGAGAAGCAAGTGCCGTAAACTTACTTTACCAGCTAACACAAACCGCCATTGGAAATTTCACGTTCTGTCGATCTGAAACTCACTCGCGTTTTCTGAGGGAAAGATCACCTATTTTTCGTAATCCCTTTCCCTTATCCATAGTGTTGAGTGTTGGACGTCCAAATTTGTAAGTAATCTATGTTCTTTATTGTTATAGTTATAATTTTGTCAGTGGGTCGCACATGTGGTAAATTTTAACGTTATAGTTTACCATTTCCTGTTATATAAGCACATGTCTCCAGGTTTAAGTTCTTGTAGGTGATTTTTATATCCATTTTTAGTCAATCAATCAGTATTGTATAGTTAATTTGTGGTAATCTAACACACCACAAACAACCAATCTTAAATTCAATGTCTTAAATTTAATTAAGTGAAAATGTTTTGTAGAGAAATTCAGAATTACTTGCTTAGAATTTTATTGTAGTATAAATATTTGTAAAATCATTAGTTTACTTTGCCATTCTATTCAGCCAAACATTTACTGAGAGTGTAACAACTATTGTTTTTAATTTGGGAAATAAAATAAATTTTAACTGGAAGTTGAGGTATAGATAGCAGGTTTGAGGAGATGCGACAGTGTCACATGGGGTTCTGTGTGTTTTACAATAGATGAACCGCCATAGTACTGTTATATAATAAATAATCTTTCAACATGTTTTACTGTGTTACAAACAGTTATACTGTGTAACAAGTTGGACTACGAGACACGATTTTCAATTAATATTTGTTGGCCAACGAGAAGGATTTAGTAGTACTGGTCATCTCAAAATTAGATTAACTCACCCCCCATTGCCATTACCGTGATCAAATTGAAACCGTGTCGAACGCTTCCCCTTCCAAGGGGTTGTTTCCGTAATTTTCAGTAAAATAAAGACATCAATAGCCATTGGATTCAAGGTTTCAAAGAGATCGTTAATATCTTATCTACTTTCAAATGTTTGTCAAAATATTTTAATTATATAAAGAAACCAGTGTAGGCTACTTTTTATTTATAGTAGTAGGCCTACAGCGCAATAAATAAAATTGTTATATATTTTAATTTTCAGTTTTCAATAACCTTGGTATTTCATTCTTGGTAGAACAAATTCATTCAAAAGAGTTTTGGTATTTATTATATATAAGAAGCCACTACAAAAGATTCACATTTAAGTGCAACACTAAACATTAGTGTGGTAGTGCGCAAAGTAGAGTCAGTGTATATTTAAGTTTGTTTTCAAATCTGGAAGAACTTCAAACAGTACCAGGGACAGGGGGGGGGCTATAAGGATCTCTGGGAATAATTTTATTCTACAGGGCCCACTATTTATCAACATCAAACTTCCACTGCCAACGCTCTGTTGTTTCCATCCAGTTGTTCCATCCCAGGGCAACCAAGATTTGTAAAGAATTAATCATTGAGAGTATTGCAAGGAGAGTGATATATATTTAAATATACACGGTGACACAAAGGAACCGGACTTTTTTAAATAAGTAGTACACAGTAGTTAAAAGGAATAAAACGGTTTTAATATGGTACATAGTGAGGTAAACATTTGCCTTTTGTTACAAAACAGTCAGTTTTTGAAAATGACGTCATGCATATGGTGGCCATGTACTTCTCTAAAAATGTTCATTCTGGCCTGAAAATCATCTGAAACTCGGATCAGGAGGTCTTGTTCAATGTCATTGATATCTTCTGTGATTGCCAACTTCAAATCATCTAGAGTGCATGGTTTGTGAGCATAAACACGCTCCTTAAAAACCCCCAAAGGAAGTAATCACTAGTGGACAAGTCAGGTGACCTAGGCGGCCAAGGTATGTCACCAAAGCGAGAAATCAGCTTGTTAGGAAACATTTGCCTCAAGACTCTCATTGATTGGTCTGCAGTGTGGGCTGTAGCACCGTTCTGTTGAAAATAAACCCTTCTTCCTGCACTAACTGTATTTTATAAGGACGAAACTTACCCTAAGATCATTCCGAGGAATTCCCCTTACCGATTCGCAGTTCATGTTCAACTCTTGAGCATGTTTTCGCGCAGACCTGCTTGGACTCCTTACCAATGCTGCTTTCACTCTGGCGATGCTTTCGGGTGTTCTCGAAGTTCTAACAAGGCCTGATGATTTCAGCGCTGCCGCTGCGTAGTGACGTATTTATTAAGTATAAAGTAAAAAGGGGAATTGTTTTCTTCGTTCGCCACTACGCTCCCGCAGCACGCGTGTCTGCCAGACCAATAATTAATAGGACAGCACGGAACACTCAGCATAGCCGTGTAATAAACAATTGACTTTTGTTTCACTTTAATGTGTTCTGAAATTATTTTATACTTAATTAAAATATTTCAAATGGCTGTTTTGCCGTTCCCAGAATTATTTGCTAAACGTGTATTGTTTTATATTAAAACCTCCTTTTAAATTTTTTAACTCCCAAAATTTTGCTGTCTTAGTCCTACACATTGACTCCACGAAGTTTGCCTAGTCCGCCTATTTGGAAATATGTCCCTGGTTTAGCCTACATATCTGTAATAAAGTTTCTTATTAAGTTTTCTAACTTTTTTCAGGGATTGGCATGGACTCTTGTGTGATACCATTAAGGCACAACAATTTATTCATGATACAGACAACTGACTACTTTTATCCTTTAGTGGATGATCCTTATATGATGGGTGAGTATTATGATAAAAAATGTTCCTTTTGCAACTTTTGTAAGTTAGCCTAGTTGTTTGAATGTATTAACTTAATTCTGACATGAGAGGCCGGCAAGGACTCACAGTTTCATTTGAAAATAATAATTCTCAAAAAAATATTCATGTAAGAATATAGTAGGTCTTTTATAAGCCTAATGATGATAAATCCTGAAAAATGCAAAACCTGAATCATTGGAAGTAGAAATGTAGGCTATTGTCATTTTAAAACAATGAGTAGATTGGTACTGTAAAGAGAAGGTCAAAATTAAGCATTCTGCTTTGGAATGATGAAATAAGTTAAAGTAGTTTATCTTTCTTGTTGTTGCTTGTTCTTGAGTAGGTAAGATGTTTGTATCACTCTATTTGTTTTGCCAGATTGTGTGACATCTGATAATGTATTATCAGTTATTTAATATGTTTCTCCTTTTTAATGTGTTATTTTATCCAATTTTTTTCAATGTTATATAATATCCCATCACCCCACAAAAACATCATCCTATTTTATGTTACAATATAATATTTATGCCAATTCTCTCCATACCTATCCTGTACTTATCAAAAACCAACAATAATCATTTACTTAGAATAATATATAATTGCAATATAGCAATAACATCTTAAATATAGTATTACTTTTAAAAATTATCCAAAGAAAATCAAAATTACTCTGGCAAGTGTCATTTATGTGAATTAACCAGCTGTACATCATTTCAACAATGGACATGGACATCCTGAACTTCTACCATTGCCTCTCCCCAGATCCTGCCAACTCTTCACAGTGTGAACATTATTTTATTGGACATTGTGTTTGATTTAAATTAAATTCATAATCCCAAAGTATTGTAATGGTCACATTTTATTGGGGGGTTCGTTTTAATTATTTAAAGGCCGCGAAGGCTTGAGCGCGCTTGACAACAATGTCAGACATGTCCACTGCAGCTGGTCATGTCTCCTAGTTCGTGACTTGACCACCGCGACCTCGGGGCGCTGACGTAGACGTGGTGGGGAGAAGCCGAGACCAGCGGACAGTGGACAGTTCTTAGGACAGTCGGCGTCGAGCGTTAGGTTCGCGCACACCAACCAACCCTCCTTAGGCCGTGCGAGCGAACCAAATAATAAGGTATCCGGACGAAGGCGAGAGTAACCCGGATGCAGATCTGGAAGCGTCTTGTTACGTATGTACACTGTATATAGCTAGCGTATACGTTGTATTCATCCCCGTATCCACTTTGGCGAGGGAAATTGCGTTATTTATTAGGCTATTCTAGGACGTTTATCGTAGTTTATTATAGAATAACGTAGTTTATCGACCGACGCTGCGAGTGTAGTGTCGCAGTCACATACGCCGACTTTTAGTCATCCAAAGTGGTTTTGTTTTATTGTAATCAGGAGTTTTTATTTATTTTCCTTAAAGCCAAGAAGAATTGGCCTAGGTGCCTTCTACGTTTTGTTTTATTTCATTATTTACTTATCGCGAGTTAGCGTCGTTTTCTTTTAATTCCGAGAAGATTATTTTTAGTTTTATTTCGAGAAGTGAGATCTTTCGTTAAGCCTAGGAGCTGGTTATTTATTTTATTTCCTAATCGTCGCCTATTTATCTATCAGCCCTAGTAGTTAGCTTAGACTTGGCCTTGTCAGCGCGTCGCTGTGCTGACACCAAGTTATAGGAGTAACTATAGTTAGTGTATTCCTTAATAGCAACTCGTGTACGGTGCGTCGACGTGCCGAGGTACCCAGTGTGTACTTGTGTACTAGCAGATCGGCGCGACATTAACATCTACGAAGATCCAGAAGTGGGAAGCGAGCGACGAGGATTGTCAGCGAGACCCTGGACTACTCGAGCTGTCCGAGCAAATCGGAGGTAAGTTTACGATAGGTGCCCTACCAGACATAAACACCTCACAGTATAATCTAAATTTTAAATTTCTTATCATCCAAAAGTATTCGGGACAAGTGCCTTGAAGAGTACCAAATTTTAACCAACCCCTATTTTATTTATTACATATGGTACAAAGGTGAAGACAGACACTCCAAATTTGGTAACCATCATCCATCTTGTTTAACTAAGGACAAATTTAATCTTCATCGGACATTTAATCAGCATAGCCTAATAGGCCCAGTTAACTTAACTCATCAAGATATACATATTTCAAATTGAACTTTTATTCAAAATTTAATCTTCAAATTTTATTTTATTTCATTAAATTCCGTGAAACCATTTGGAATATTTCTTTGGACATTACCATATTACATGAATAGCATCATGAACCTAGCCTATTTCAGAACAATAACTTAATTAAATTATCTGCATTTTAAAGAAGCCTAATATATCATTCGAACCGGCACGACCACCCCTCCCTGAGATTAAGAGCTCATATTTAAATATTAACTAGGTGGCGTTCGCAGATGCATCCACAAAATTGAGCGGAGTCATCAAGGGTTCATATTATATTGTTTTTGTCATACTGCAGTAAAAACAGTCGTCATTGATGCATGCGGTTCCGGGTCTAAAGTAGCATTTTTACTCTTTGGGAAATAAAATTCGTTTTAAGCCTCTTAGTACGTTTTCTGTGCCTCTATGGAGTAAAACTCAGTTGTAAATTTAGATTGTAAACGATTGAATACGTATCGAAATATGTAACGATTCGTGCTTCATAATCATTTTAATCAGTCTCTTCCCATAGCATTTTAGCACTGCAGATACATTAATCCATTCCCACACTCAACCCTGCCCATCTTTACTACTTCATTCACCACCCCTACGTCGTGGACCTGTTTCCCTCTCTTCCCATGGCATTTTATGATTGCAGATACATTGTAATTGCCAAAGACAGTTCCCACACTCTGCACTGCAAGCCTTACTACTTCCTTCACCATTTCCTACGTCATAGACTTGTTTCCTTCCCTTCCCATAGCATTTAAGTATTAAATACATTTATCTAACTGCCCAAACGGTTCCTTCACTCTGCACTACCAGCCGTTACCACTTCCTTCACCACTTCCTACGTCGTGGGGCCTATTTCCTTCCCTTCTCATAGCATTTTAGGATTGAAGATACATTAATCTAACTGCCACAGACGGTTCTCACAATATGTCCATACTTCATCACTTCCTAATCCACTTCCTACATCGTGGACCTGTTTTCATCACTTTCCATAGCATTTTAGTTTTAAGAAAGTTAATCTAATTGTCACAAACATTGCCCACGATCCGCACTGCTAGCCTTTACTACTTCTTTCACCATTTTCTATGTCATGGACATGCTTCCATCCCTTCTCATAGCATTTCAGCATTGCAGATACATTAATCTAACTGCTACAAACTGTTTCCAGTTCCCAAACTCCACACTTCTCACCTTACTACTTCCTTCACCTCTTCTTACCTCACAGACCTGTTTCCCTCCTTCCCATAGAATTTTAAGATTGTAGATACCAAGATATCTTAATCTAATCGTCATAAACAGTTCCCACACTCCGGACAACTCGCCTTTACTACTTCCTTCACCACTTCCTACGTCACGGACATGTTTCCCTCCCTTTCCATAGCATTTTAGGATTGCAGATACCATAATCTAATCGTCATAAACAGTTCCCACACTCCGAAAAACTCGCCTTTACTGCTTCCTTCATCACTTCCTACGTCACGGACCTGTTTACCTCCCTTCCCATAGCATTTTAGGATTGCAAATACCTTAATCTAATGGTCATAAATAGATCCCATACCCCGAACATCTCGCCTTTACTACTTCCTTCACCACTTCGTACATCGCGCGGACCTGTTTTCCTCCCTTTCCATAGCATTTTAGGATTGTAGATACCTTAATCTAATAGTCATAAACAGTTTCCACACTCCGGACAGCTTGCCTTGACTATTTCCTTCACCACTTCCTACGTCGCGGACCTGTTTTCCTCCCTTCCCATAGCCATAGCATTTTAGGATTGCAAATACCTTAATCTAACGGTCATAACAGATCCCATACCCCAAACATCTCGCCTTTACTACTTCCTTCACCACATCCTACGTCGTAGACCTGTTTCCTTCCCTTCCAATAACATTTTAGGATTGCAGATACCTTAATCTAATTGTCACAAACAGTTTCCACACTACGGACAGCTCGCCTTGACTACTTCCTTCACCACTTCCTACGTCATACACCGTTTCCCTCCCTTCCCATAGAATTTTAGGAATGCAGATACCTACCTAAATCTAATCATCTTAAACAGTTTCCACACTCCAGAATGCTCACCTTTACTACTTCCTTCACCACTTTCTACGTCACGGACCTCAATCTAGTGGCGTCATTTGATTATATCATAGATAAAACATGGTTAGTCTATGATTATATTTATGATCCATACCACCGTTTATGTTCTAATGACTGTGGAATAATGCTATCAGCTATTTATTTATCTACTGCATTCAAAAGTCAACAGCTGATCATATGTTGTTTATGTGTCAAATACTGCTTCCATAAGGATTACATTGAAACTTTGAGACCCAGTGGGGCGGATTCCTAAGAGACTTTTTTTAACGCTATATAGATGTTGGCACTCACCGGTATGGTCTTTATCACCATGCAAAATTTGAAAACGATTGATTCAGCCGTCTAGGAGGAGTTTGCGTATTACGAAATGCATAAAAGTCGACGTATAAGAGCTTCGCTCAATTAGTACTTTACAAGAAACCAACCCAATATAAGCCTAGAATCTTTTCATCCACTTTGGAAGCCCCACCATTTTGAAAATTTACCATTGTTAACTTAGACCCTGTAGCTAATTCAACCAATAACTTATCTTATATTTGTATTTCATTAATAAATTTTATATTGTAACTTACCAAATCTATTTATTCTTAAAATAATTTATATAGCCTATTATAAGATTAAGATAAAGACTTACCTCATTAGACAGAAATAAAACACAAATTAGGAATTATCTTTATTAAGAAAGAAATTACTTTGAATTCAATGTGGGCTAACTTAATAGCCAAAGGAATTTTGTAGGCCTAAGTTAATGAAAAGTCTATAGAAAGCTTTATGGTGCGTAGCACACTATAGTCTGTATTTACAAAAATAATTACAAACATGCAGTCACTAGTATCGCGATTTGCTTCGATCAGACAACACGATGACAGACAAGCGGCGGAGTCCCATTGGGAGGTCTTTCTTGCTCCGTTTCATTTCTTGGCCTGGGGTGTTGGCATTTAGGCTGTTCGAAAGTTGAGGATAGTTTGGATTTTCCTGGTTTAGGGTTGTATGGGTGCTTTGATCTCTGTAGAATTGCCGGTTTGTTGCTTTGTTTTTAGTTTTGTCAGTTTCAAAGTCGTGTATTAATTTCAAAATTGTGGAGCTGCTATAGATTTTTGAGTTTAAAATTTGAGTACCTGTGGTAAAAGTCATGACCAAGACTCCAATTGTTGATTTTTGAAGGTCACTGTTTATCAGTCACCAGTGGACCCCAAGCACTGTGAGCTAACCACAGCATAGGCCGGCTGCTGCCCTAGCGTTCTAATCTGCCACACCACTAAATTGCCGCACGTTGCGCAATACAAGTTCATTTTACAAAGTCCATTTTAGAATATAAAAAAACACAAAAAACAACTAGATATTTACATACAAATATTTATACAGGCCTATACAGTCAAAACACTAAAGCAATAACGTAAACTTAGGATTCACACAAACAAAATGCACTGTGGAATACATACAATCTCTCGGGACAATGCGGCAACTAACCAACATTATTGTACGAGTGGCTGAACTACCCCAAGCATCCAAACAAACAAAGGCGCTCTCCCCCACCGGTGGACCCGTCGCATTGAATGTGTTAAAAGCCACAAGCCTATATATTCTACTTTACTTATTTTTGGAGTTTACTTATTTTCTCTCATTGTTTTCAGGTAGAATAGCTTGTGCCAATGTAGTGAGTGATGTTTTCGCTATGGGAGTGACCGAGATAGACAATATGCTTATGATTCTTGCTGTCTCGACACAAATGACTGACAAGGAAAGAGATGTTACCATGACTTTGATGATTGAAGGGTTTAAAGTAAGAAGTATAAACAATTTACTATCTGATTATAGTAAAGAAGTAATGCCTTACTGACTTCTTAAACATCTAACATTCACATTGAATTTCTTAACATCTATAAATTAATTAAAACAGGATTTACGCTGATGTAATCTATTAGTTCTGTGTACACAAATAGAAGTATAATGCAGCAATAGTGTGGCTGACTTTCGCTATGTGACAGGATGCCGCAGCGGAGGCAGGGTCTCTGGTGAGTGGAGGAGAGACGGCCATCAACCCCTGGGTGACTATTGGAGGAGTGGCGACATCTATATGTCCAGCAGACGGGTTTATATCGTAAGTGTTTAAGTTACTTGTACTGGGACCTCAAGTCTCGACCGAGTCATGCTGGCCTACAGAGGCAAATTAAAAAGTACTGTGAGAGTAATTAGTAGCATTCTCATTATAACTTCTATCCTTTGCCACATGGTTCTTTTCAACATTGCTTTTCAACCGACAAAAGAAACAAATGCTAGTACACAGAGATACTACCAATACCATAGCTTTTATCACACTTTTGTCTTCAGGAAGTTAGGTCATAGGGTCCCATAAACTACAACTTTAAAAACACGATCCCTGTTAGTGGACTCTAACTTTTGTTCCTGAGATAGTTGGATTTTCTAATTGGATTCTATTCGAGGTCAAAATAACTTTCTAACTGATATAGTAGCTGAAATTTACCCATTTTGGAAGCGGTGGAGTTTTCCCAACCGGTTTTATTTCTGGGCTTGGTAAGTTAAGTGTAGTTAAAATTTTAAATTGGGAACCAGCAAATAATTCGTCTTTTCATGTTGTGTATGTGTAGAGCAGTCTAAAACTATTAGTCTTAAGTCGATGATTGCTGTCTTACCTGATCTGCACAACACAAGTCAGAGCAGACTAGGGTAACACTTTGGATTTTTCCTGTTTCACATTTTTTAGGCCAGAGAACGCAGTTGAAGGAGACGTGCTGGTGCTTACCAAGCCACTGGGCACCCAAGTGGCCGTCAATGTTCACGTCTGGGCAGACATGCCGACACGATGGGCCAACATTGAACATGTTGTTACTAAGGAGCAGGTGAAGAAAGCTTACGAACGAGCTATGTACTCTATGGCACGGTTGAACAAGACAGGTAAGTCTCAGTTCATGTACATACCCCTTCCTTTGCTTGATACTTTCCACATTTAGGTCTTTTGATGACTATATTTACTGGCCAAGGTTAAAAGAAACTGCGAACATAAAAAGCTATAGGCTAGAAATTGAACTCATTTCCGTCTTTACTTCACGATTTTTAAATTATTATGATAATGAATGGATATTTAATTTAAAATGTAGTCAAATCTAATCCAGTGCTTTTGTAGCTGCAGCCCTAATGCATGTACACAAGGCCCATGCCGCTACTGACGTCACCGGGTTCGGTATACTGGGACATGCTGAGAATTTGGCCAAGTTCCAGAAGAACCCGGTGTCTTTGATTGTTCACTCGCTGCCTATCATCGCTCATATGGCAGCTGTGGCCAAGGTTAGGGCTCACTTCAAGCTACTGCAGGGCACTTCAGCGGAAACCTCCGGTAAGTGACTGAGGAGGAATTGTGGTGAAATATCTGGTTTGCCTTTTTTCAAGTTTTACGTTACTACCAGTCAGGTAAAACCTGCAGTAATTGTGGCTGGTTATGCTACTAAATTAATTAGGGTAGCAAACAATGTAATGAAGACTATCAAATAAGACTTGTTATCAAGGCTGACTTCTTATCGAGGTTTGCAAAAGCATGTAAATGAGGGTAATGTATAATCAAGAGTATTTGAAAATGACACTGTTATCAAGGTTCCACAGTATAGTAATTGAGCTTTGATTGTCGAATTAATTATTCCGATATTTGATGATCTGTTTAGACACTAACTAGTTATTAGTCGTACCACTGTTTAATAACTTACCACCGTTTTCTTTTGTTTAAACAACCTCGGTGAATTTGAGTTGTTGCAATTTAATCTTTATTTCTTGTAGAATGCTATCAACAAACACAAAAAAACAGTAATTGCTACACAGTAGCTCTTTTGTCGAATAGAACAGAGTTAAAACATTTTCTTGCTTTCATCCGCTTTCACATTTGCTGTTTACGCTAAGAATCAATCTTCACGGATGGCCACTATAGGCCTATAACAGCAGAAAATGTTTTAATACAACATATGACCTAAAAGAAAAGTAATTTTCAAAATACCTATAAAATATTTATTTGCAATAAACAATTAATTATTAATATTAATTGTTCATTAATTAATTGTGCACAGTGTAGGCTTTTAGATGTTCTATGGCCTACCTACACTTTCAAGGTAAGCTAGCTACTATCCTCCTTCTAAAAATCATAATTATTGTTTATTATAATCTTATTTTTAAAAATTTCAAGTTATTAAAGATTTCAACCAAACTTTACGTCTAATTACTTTATCTAGTCCAAGTAAGCAATAAAAACAATTTGAAAACAATTGCTCTTTTTAAACTTGTCCAAACTACAAACTAATTTCTTTTCAGGAGGTCTTCTAATTTGTCTGCCCGAAGAGCGTGCCGCAGCATTCTGTGCAGATATCAAGAAACTTGAAGGCTATTCTGCGTGGATTGTGGGAGAAGTGGTGAAGGGAGATAGAACTGCGAAGTTGGTGGAAAATCCTACGATCATTGAAGTACCGGAGGTGGAAAAGGAGGGGGAATTGTGGTAGACTTGTATATGGAGTTGCTCAAAACTTGTGTTTTTCTAATGCAGATTACAAGGTGCTGGGGGTTCAAAATTAGTTAGATGGTTACCTGTAGAAATAACTAACCCTTTTAATAGCGAGAGTATGGAAAGTTGTGCCTTATTTGCTAACTGAAGTATGTATTGAAAACATAAATTTACAATGTTAACATTCAAAAGTATGACTCTGAACAAGCAAAGTTGGTTGTCAACATTTGTTCGGATGATGGAAATTTTGGGTGTTACTATCGTAGTTTATTTTTTATGAGTGATGGATAGTTGTATTTATTTTCCTAAATAGGAAATGTCAGAAATTTGGAATTTGTTACCATATGTATTTGTAGTAGCCTACTGTACAGAGTAGGCCTACCTATTATAGGACTTAAATGGTAATAAAAAGCTCATTTTGTTGAATTTTACTTTGTGATTAACTAGCATTCATATTAACATTGTTTTAATTTTTTATGAAATAAATGTTTAGTTACTCAGTACAGCAAAAATTTTTTAATACCCTAATCCCATACTTAAACTCTTATAACATTACGAATGGGCCTAATTTTTGAACCTAACTCCTATAGATAAGTTTATTTAAGTTTGTATTTCGGTTCAATGTTGTTTTTTTTTTCTAAAAAAATAAAAATAACAATCAAACAATGTAAAAACTTTATTACTTAAACCCTAACATTTGCAATCCATGGTTCTTTCTATTTGTAAGTTAATACAACTTTTAAGCACCATATGCCTAAACAAACTTAATCACAAATTAAACACTATATTATAATACAACCAAATGTAGGAATCGTAGAATCCCCACAGGTGTTGATAAAACTTGCAGATGTCACTTTGTTCAATGTGGAGTTGGAGACATCTTCATAGTAAACAAGAAGAATTTTGCGTCTGTAATAAAAAAAAAACATTGATCAGTTTGTAAGGCTGTAAAGTATTAAGATGATATTTGGAAGCAAAACTGTACCATTCAGTTAGTGATATTTCTAAACTCCAACGTTTGTTTCACACACTAAACTGGAAGCTAAGAATGTTATTGAACCAGAATAGAAAACCCAGTCTTTAGCTGGAAGCCTGTTGGGTTGTCATGTGCTTATGGATTGACATAAGCTGATTTTACAGATGTTCTATTGTCTTGCAGCAACGTGTTAAATTTTAAATGGTGAACTTTTTAAGTTTAAAATGGTTTAATATGGTGAACTGAAATTTAATGCACAGAGAGTAGGCCTACTTTTGATTAATAACATACTTAGTCGAAGACATCTGAAAAATGGATGACAGCTTCAACAAGTATGAACAAGCTAGTACAGTACTTATGTCAAGGCAATGGTAATCAGTAAATAAGTTATAGCACAAAAACATAACGTTCGGTATTTGGAAGTGCAGTTGCCTAATTCCGAATTTGCGTTCGGAACTTAAATAGGATTGGCATTATATTTTGGCTTCCTAATTTCAAACGGCTTAAAAATTAATCTTACAATAGTGTCTAAACGTCTTTTATTATGGTTTTAAATTTTAAAAAGAAGTTTAAATTATAACATTAACAACTGTTCTTAATCACAAATTAGCATGTATCGTTATTAAAGCCTAAGAAAATTGACTGTTTTCTCAAGGAAATTGTCCTCAGTTTGAAGGAATTTGCCAAAACTGTGGACAGAATGACCAACCAAGGCTCACTGAATCTAGTAACCAATGACGATAATATCGTCAACAAATTAATTACTCTTCAGCTGGTATTGATAATTTGAAGCAGATTATTATTTAAATCTAAAAACCACGTGTTCGGTATTTGGCGGGTGTTCGGTAATTGGTAGGTTTACCTTAAACGGTACTGCACAAATGACGTACAGTAATTAGGCCTAGCAGGGACATATTTCCGAACAGGCGGAATAGGCGCCCGCCTAGGCCGGCAAGTTTAAAAATTTGGGTGGTTAAAAATTGGAGGTGTTAATCCAAATAAACGTAATTCTGGGAATGGCATAACAGCCATTTAAAATATTATGATTAAGTATAAAGTGATTTCAGAACGCATTAAAGTAAGAAAATATCTGTGCTGCCCTATTGGTCTGGCGGACACGCAAGCCGTGGAAGCGGGTTGCCGGTTGCTGCATAATGGGGACGAACTACGCAGCGCAGAAGAAGTGCTAGCTGAAAGGTTGTTAAAAGTCCATCCGATGTGGTGTGTAGACATTGTACATAAAACCTTAGTTTACACAGTGATTGTATTTTATCTCATTTCTTGCATTTTTTGTATTGACTGACGTTTTCAATACAATGTATAATTGTCAAAGAGCATAAAGACATTATTATTATTATTGTTGTGGTATTCCTATAATGATTTTTACCATAATGTAACAGATATAATATTAGTGAACTGTTGAATTGAATAAACGTTGCTAAGTTTGAGTCACACAATCACTCTTTATCGGCTGGTAAGATTACAACTTAATGTTTTCTTTCGATGTTTGTTGTTGTAGCTGATGAAATGAGGGAATAAAATAGGTACATAAAATACTTTATTAATAATTGATGTAAAAAGGAAAGATATTAAAACATTAACACTTCAAACTGTGAACATATTAGAACAACAACAAAATATAATCAAGCAGCTGATATTAAAAGACACATTAAAAAGATATTTGATTATATAGCATTAAACAAATCAATACTATATAAAATCCTCAACATTCCCCCTTAATCAAACATCTTTTTTTTATTAATTAATCTGAGTCTTTAAGTCCCATGTCCGTCACAAAGTTATTAAATTTGTCACGTGACAATGATTTGGTCAAAATATCAGCCGTCATACTTTCAGTTCGCATATACTTGATTTCAATTAACTTCTTTTGTACAGCTTCTCTTATGAAGTGATGTCTGACATCAATGTGCTTCGTGCGATTATGAGCTTGAGTGTTTTGAATAAACTTCTGAGCACTTTGATTATCATTATACAGTACAACAGTGTAGAGCTTGTCACTTATCTCACTTAAGAAGTTTTTCATAAAACACACCTCTTTAGTTACATCACTCATTGCTAAATATTCCGCTTCCGTACTGGATAAAGCAACAGTACGTTGTTTCCTTGATTCCCAAGAAACTGCACATCCTCCAGCTTTCAAGACAAAACCAGTTGTCGATCTTCTATCAATTGTGTTTCCAGCCCAATCTGCGTCAACATATGCTTCCAAATTGAAGTTATTGGTAGATTTGAATGTAAGTGCATATTTTCTAGTCCCAACTAGATATCTCAGTACACGCTTTGCTGCAATCCAATGACTTTTATCATGCATGACATGTGTTGAATTGACTTAAATAGTTTGTAGCATACGATATATCAGGCCTTGTACACACTGAAAGATATAGAAGTCCACCAATCAGCTGTTGATAAAGATAATTGGATTTCTCTTCATTAGAAACCTTTTCAAGCTTCAAGTTAACTGCCATTGGTGTAGATGCAGGTTTTGCTTCTGTCATGTTAAAACGCTGCAAAAGATTTGTCACATAGCTACTTTGTGAGAGTGATATGGTTCTTTCTTTACGATTTCGAGTCACTTTCATACCTAGACAGTTGGTAACAGGTCCTAGAACTTTAGTTTCAAAAGTTTTTTGAAGAGCTGTTATTAGATTTCGTTTTTCAACTTTATCATTAGTGAAAATAAAAAAATCATCCACATACAAAGCTAGAATCGTTAAACCACTTTTCTGTTTCTTCATGTAAACACACTGTTCACATTTAGATTGTTTGTAGTTTAACTTCGTCAAAAATTCATGAACAGTTTTATTCCAAGATCTACTTGCCTGTTTCAGTCCATAAATAGGCCCTACTCTTTTTTAAGAGACAAACTTTATTTTCTCCCTTTTCAAAACCAGTAGGTTGTTCCATGTAGATAGTTTCTTCTAAAGAACCATTCAAAAATGCTGTAGTTATATCAATATGATCAATATCCATGTCAAGTTCATTTCCAATAGAAAACAATAATCTAATCGTTGAATACCGCACAACAGGTGAGAAAGTCTCTGTAAAATCAACACCATATTCTTGGCTAAAACCTTTGGCAACAAGGCGTGCTTTGAACTTCTCAAGATCACCATCAGCATTTTTCTTAACTTTATAAACCCACTTGCATTTAACCACATTTTCAGTCTTAGGACGATCAACCAACTCCCAAACATTGTTCTTAATCAGAGAATTATACTCTTCATCCATGGCATTCATCCATTCTTCTTTGAAATTACTTTTAATTGCCTCATTGAAATTTTGCGGTTCATCAAAAACATCGACAGCTTGATATGAAACGAAGTCGTTCATCCATAATGGTTTTCTGCGATCACGTTCAGGTCTCTTATCTTCTATCGAAGAATTTCCTTCTTCCAAAACTTGCTGTTCTAGATAAGTATTTTCATTTACTGAAACTTCCTGTTCACTTTCACTGTTAGAATGAACAAGATTTTCTTCGTTGTCTACAGATGTTATATCATTGTTTGGTTCTTCCACTAGTGTAGTTGTGCTACTGTTTATAACAGTATATTCAACTTGTCGACTTTCATTTTTCATGAAAATAAATTCTGCACGAATCTTTGTCAAAAACTACTATTTTACCTTTTTCTGTAATTTTATTTACAGACAACAAATTAGTAGCAAGTTCTGGTATGTATAAAACATCCTTAACAGCAACTTTATTAGAATTTTCTACAAAAAGTTCAATATCACCAACACAATTACTTGTAAGTTTTGCATTATTGGCGACCAAAACTTCCTTCTTTTCAAACTTACAATTTTTCACCATTTGATTACTCATATGAGTTGTACAACCTGAATCAATTACCCAATCATTAGCCTATGATCAACTTTGGATGCATAAGATTTTATATTTTCAGTATGGAAAACAGTTGTAAGCAATAGATTGTCATTTTCTTTGTGTTTCTCAGCATAATTTACCTTAGATCTGTGTTGAGAATTATTGCCAAGATTAGGACAGTTATGCTTAATATGTCCAGGTTGGTTACAAAGATGACAAATAATTTTCTTCTGTGATCTAAACTTACCTTTTGAATCTTTCAACTTCTCAATTTTCTTGGCATAAGAATGTTTAATTGCCAAAGCTGATTCACTTCCAGTTGAAGTATTTTCAGACCTCCTAAAATCCTCTTGTAAGAGACGAGTTTTAACAAACTCACTAGAGAGTAACTTCAATACCCATAATAAGTGGTTCATATTCTGAAGGTAAACCACCCAGAAGTAACATTGCAACTTCTTCATCATCAACAATGTGATTTATGTCTGCTAACTGTTGAACTAAGGACAAAGTTCCATTTACATAGTCTGCCATTGTGCTAAAATCTTCCAATTTAGTTCTAAGTAAACGTCTTAAAAGACTAAGTCTTCTAACCAAACTTTTGTTTTCAAAAGCATTCTGGAGATTATCCCAAGCTTCTTTAGCAGTGTTAGCATTCCTAACATAAGGATAACAAGTAGGCAAAACATTTAAACAAATTTTTGCAAGAGCCTTTTGATCCCTGTTTTTATCTTTGATTTCAGTATCATTAGATACACAATCCCAAAGTCCAAACACCCTCTAGACGTTCAACATTACAATTTCCTCCCATTATAATATTTGTCATACTAGACAATCCTGTATTACTTGAGTTAGGTGTAATAGTAGTGTTTTCTTGTTTAGTTTCCATTTTAGGCCAAACAACTTAAAAATTCAGTTCAAGAAATTAGGTAACAAAATATTGTTCATAAGCCTAGAAATCTTACCAAACACAATCAGTCCAGAATTCTTCATTTTAATGTAGTTTTATAGATATTTAAAATGAATTTTATTAAAAACGTCTTCTGGGCCCATAACCTGATGAAATGAGGGAATAAAATACTTTATTAATAGGCTAATTGATGTAAAAAGGAAAGATATTAAAACATTAACACTTCAAACTGTGAACATATTAGAACAACAAAATATAATCAAGCAGCTGATATTAAAAGACACATTAAAAAGATATTTGATTATATAGCATTAAACAAATCAATACTATATAAAATCATCAACAGTAGCATTACAGTAGATTGTATTTTAGAGGTTAGGGCAAACGGTTAAGGGTCATACAATTATGGTCAAGGGTGAAAACATAGTGGAGAGGTGAGACTAGAGCGTAGTTGAGCGGGTAAAATAATACATGTGTGTAGATGTGCCAAAACATTGTGAGGCGCGGGGGCGTAGCTATAGTAACCGCGCCGACCTGTTGGCCTCTTCGCTCGGATATTCTACCCTGATTTTTTACAGCTCAAGAAGAGTTCAGTTGAGGGTTTAGCCTCAGTAGTCAAACTGTATGGTTTAAAATGTATTTTTTGCCAGTTTCTGAAAGCAGTCATTTGGGACTAGGTCTAATGCTATTACAATAAATAAAATCATAACGTGTCAAAAATGTACTGTATCCCCCTGAATGACAGATAAGTTAGTTATTTAAGATCCCTTATAGAAGATTTTGTGTGCTGTTTCACGCCGCATAACGTGATTATAATTGGGCCTACTGATTGGATAAAAAAATGTATTCCGTGTATCCAAGTCAGAATCATGTTTTGCATAAAAACGGCGCAAAAAAGTTATTAAATTTTTTGATGCAGCATGCAATAATTACCGGTAGAGATTATTTTTCTACAAAATCAGCTGACAGCGCACGTCTTGGCTATTGGGGATCATAAGTGTGGTCGGGGAGGGGGCTGACAAGTTGTAGGGGGAGGGGGCGGCGGTAAACTTCGTTACTTAAAGGCGGCAGATAGCCTACTTAAATGCGTCCCTGAGGCCTAGTCTAGCTTTAATGAAAATAGACATTCTTAACATAAGATTATCTTAACTCTTTCAACGATAGCGTGTTTAATATTTATCTCAAGAGAAAAATAACTACACATTCACAATCAGCGTAAAATTCTGCATAATTTAAGTTAGATAAGCTACCTTAAATGTGTTTTTTGAAATGAAACAATTTGCCATCGTTTTCTGATTTTCCATGTTTATTTGAATTTTCTAGGGAAAATGGCAATCATTTTTTAATTTAAAACTTTTAAAATAATAAGCTTAGTTAGGCCTACCTAACAAAGAAAAAAAATATTATTTTAGTGTCCGTAATCGATATAACTTAACTACCGGTACGTAAAAATGAATTAAGTTACAATCAGCTTTTCTAGCTGATCCTAGTTATTATAACTTATAGCCTATTTTAAAAATATTAGGCTATTCTTAGTGCACTTTTAAAGCTATGACAAACAAGGTAAACGCCTACAAATTACAACCACTCACCTCTTCAAACCTTTTTTAGGGTTAGGCCTAACAGTAAATTAAAACCAGTCTTCAAGCAAGATTTAGAAAAGATAAAATTGGTTCATTGAGTTAGATTTTAGCGTACAATTGAAGTTGAATGGATGGATTTTGGATCGATTTAATAGGGACTATTTCCTGTAGCATATTGTTTGGCTCTATATCTTCAGCAATCCAAGGGAATTCTTCAAAAGATGGATCGTCACAAATGCTGGAATATCCTGATTCTTCCGTTTTCACAAATATTCTAAAACTTGAATTATCTTGCGGGGGTTTTAACACAGAGTCCATCATGGAAAGCTTGAGGCAAAATGTGCGGAATGCATCTTCTAGTTGCTTTATATCTTGTAACAATTCATCCGTTAGCTTAAGTGAAGGTTCAAATCCAAAATGTATGTTGTTGAAAACAAATTTTTCCATAAGTTTTGAAGAAGAATTGTAAATGCAAAATGAAATTTCTTCAATTTTGTTTGAAATCAGAAACTTTTTAATTGATTTCAACACTTGAGATATATACTGGTTGAGATCAGGATACAGGCAGACATGTACTGGAACGTTGTACTTCTTCTTCAAAACAAATATACTTGGAGGATAAACGTTTCTTAGAAAAAGGATCGAGTGGAAGCATACTTCAAAAAATTCTAATAAAACGTCCGCAATACAAATACTTTGTGAATTCATGTTTTACAACTGATTAATTACAACCATTGAGTAAATAGGCAAGTTACACAATACTCATGTCGAAAGCTAACCTAGCCTAGGCCTATGCCTTAGCACTGAACAAGCAAATCAATGATTGCATCATTACTTGTGTGGAAGAGCAACATAATAATAATTCTCTTACGAAAATTAAATGTATTTCCTAAATAACTAGACGTTAACTGAAATAACTTGTGAAAATAGGTATAATGGCCAACTAACTATGGTCTAAACTACAACAATAACATAAACAACTTCACTTCACTTCAAACAAACAAACAAAAGTCAAAACACAATATTAATTATTAACAGAACCAGCTGTTTCCCGGTAAAAAGGTTTTCTGTTGATAGTTGAGAGAAGGTATGTGTAGTGACCAGCCATTATCGATGGCATTGAATATAAGAAAGATGTTTTTTTGGGTGCATATAAAATAACATCGCCCCCCATATCATAGATTAAATATACCCCTTTCCACTTTTCAATGTCAATGTTCATACATTTTTTAATCCATGCCAAATATACCATTAGGCCTATGTTTTATCTATTCTATAAACATACGGGTGCGAACATAAAATCCTGCTTCGAAATCTGTGAATATTGAAATATCATTTGTGATCGTGTCTAAATTTGTTAAGTCAACATATCAAGTTTTAAAATCTTCGTGAGTATCTATCTATATAATTAATACGCTACATGAAACTTTGTCGGTTGAACTCCTCCCCCATTTCTTAACCGATTTTATCCATTGACGTCTCATTGGAAAGAGCGTGTCGCGTAGATTTCTGACCTTACATTTTTGAACAAATCCCTTGGGCTCTGCCCCAGTGGCTTTGAAAGTTCCCATGTTATCCTTATGAAGAACATAATTGTTTACATTTTGACCAGCTGTATAATTTAATTGCTGTTATTTATTTTTAAATTCAATGAAATGCATTGGGTACATTTATTTACTATTTGAGTTTGTGTAAACATAACCCCCAAGACGGATCGTCTTAGTATGGTTGTATCTTAAATTTGTGTATTTATCGTTGTTTTGTGTCGCTATGACGGATCGTGTTAGCATGATTGTAATTTAAATTTGTGTATTCATCGTTGTTTTGTGTAGCTATAATTTGTTTATTTGTTGTTTTTTATGCCTCCGACGCGACGACAACGAAACATATTAAACAGGAGGCGTAATCGTGATAACGACCGCAGCTACAGAAACAGAACAGTGTGGTGCGTAATAGGATTAACTCATCACAGTCAGCACCTGACCCTGGACAAACTCAACTATTAGGTTACAAATGCGCCCTTTAACACTACCCCAAAACGACTTTTCGTTCTCAATTAGTTCTCTATCATGACCTGTGTTGCCTGTACAGCGAGGCATTTTAAGAAGGAGAAAACCGGCCGGAATGCTTTAGGTTTAACAATAACGAAGATAAACATGGTCTGAGTTACAGTACACACCGGTAATCTTATTGAGTTGAGTCTTTTAAACACATTGTAAATATGACTGTTATTCGTTTTGAAATAATTCCTGTAATACTTTGCAATTGCTCGAATTCGAGCAACATGTACACTAGTTAAAATTATTTCATTTGCGATCATGTTTCAAACTTGATAGGTCAACATTATCAGGTTTTGACGTGTTGTGAAACAGTCAATAAGGTATTTTCAAAGGCGTTAAACGTTGAAATGGGGACATGTTAGGTTTTGCCATCTTACACATATAAATATTGAGTCAAATTATTGCAGCAGGGGCTGATATGAGCTACATCAATTAAGTCATAACACAGTATACTTTTTTACACCAATTTACATATCAGGATTGGGCATGGTTTATTTCACTTTTCTATTAATTGGAATTTTACATATCTGGTTTTACCACCTTGCAGATCTCTCATATTTGGGTAGCTTAGTGGTCATAGTGTTTGCCTAGTAGGTAATCAAAAAGGTCGCCGTTTCGATCCTGAGAAGTGTGTAGCTTTTTGATGGTTCGAAACTACCTGTCTTTGATCATTGGGTTTTCAATGCTCCTGCTATGACTCTGACTACTACTGTGTAATGAAACAGCTGGTCTTGGACAGAGACAAAGCTACACAACGCATCATTAACTAAATCCCTAAATCCCATTGAGTGGCACTTGGCACTACCCCATTTCATTAAGGACCCATCAGCTGTTCTGGACTCTTCAGGCTTTTAAAAATAACTATAGTTCGGCCGCTTAGAAAGCGACCTCCTCCAGCATTGGTTTAGCATTAGCGCGCAGGTCGTTTTCTAAGCGGCCGAACTATAGAGGTCACCTCTTGGTCAAAAACTCATTGTTTTGATTTTCTGTTTATATTTCGTCATAGCAACCCATAAGGTCCATGTTATTTTTTTTTTGCATTTTTAATACATTTAAGGAGGTTATTTTTGAGACTATTTCAATTTCTAAAGGGATTCTGCACATCTACTGGCAAATATCTTTCTAAAAATGCGTAGATTTTCCATGCAATGCACACGAGCTGAGAATGAAGGGTTTAAAGAAACATGCTTGCCTATTAATATATAGACGAGAGCACGCCCCGTGGTCGAAAAATCGACCAAAAGTATGTTTTGTGCAAACTTCTCTATTTTCACCCCACACTGTTAAATAAAACATGTGATTGGAATGTCTTCCATTTGTTTTGATTTTCTGTTTATATTTTGTTGTTATTTCGTCATCACCATAGCAACCCATAAAACCCATGTTAATTTTTTAAAATTTCAAATTCATTTTTTGTGCTTATTTTTGTGCCTATTTTAGTTTATAAAGGGATTCTGCACACCTACAGGAAAATAGCTTTCTAACGGTATGCGTAGATTTTCCGTACGATACACACGAGCTGAGAAAAAAGGTTTTAAAGAAACATGCTTGCCTATTAATATATAGATAGATTGTTCCTGTCTAAATTAATTATCAGATGGTCTAAGAAAAATACAAATCTAAAATCATTTATAGGAGCATTATGCTCCTCCACTCTACCTACCCAAATAGCACTGGCCCAACTTTGGGTGGGAAGTGGTCTTTGGCACGGTTGGGAAAAGGTGAGTGGAAATTTAAACGCCTTATACCAACTTTGGCCCTACAAAGGAGAGAATCGTTGGGCCTCTGTTGGATTTAAGTATAAACCATTCTAAAACACATTTTAACAGATTAATTTATTTAATAAAGACAACAGTGTAGCAGAGTATAAGACAATTTTGGAGAAAATTGGATCTATAGCTTGTAGGCCTAAATGTAGTCAGATGATGTTGTGATACTATAGATACACAACTAGGTGTTGTGGTAAGAGGACTATAAACACATACCTTAATGATAATAATGCAAATTAATTTTTTTAATTAATATTCTTTAACTTATTTGAGAAAATGTTTAATAGTTGAACAATTTAGGGGGAAAAATTAATTAATCTATATATTCAAATAGGTACCGGTATACCCTCCAACTCCCAGAAAAACAATCCAACTACTTGATGCATAAACAGAATAGTAGTGTCAAAACTATTTAAGTATTGCAGCCATTGCAACTATCGGCTCCTCTTTGATGCTTGAAAACAATTGATCAACAATCAGAGTAGTGATGGGCGATACGGACGCCTATCGCGATACAGCGATACGATACGTATCGGAAAAAAATATCGTATCGCCGTATTGAATCGGGCGTCTATCGTGATACGCGAATCGTATCTTCAAAAATATCGAAAAACGATACGTATCGTATCGTTTCCCCCCTCCCCTACCTAACCAAGAAACGGCAAATTTATTTAAGTACCTGGGGACCGAGCTTTGCTCGAAGAAAATCATTAGTTTACTCTGAAAACAGTCTAAGTATTGCAGATACATTTCCATTCCCACACTGCTCGACTTTACTACTTCCTTTACAACTCCCTACGTCTTGGACCTGTTTCCCTTTCCTTTCCATAGCATTTTAGGTAATGTAATGTAATTGCCACAGACAGTTGACAGTTCCCACACTCTGCACTGCACTGCTAGTGTTGTTAGGCTAGATAGAACGCTAGTGGAAATGGACTGGAGACTGGACTGGGATGGGACTGGTACATTATCATCAAGTAAAAACAAAAAATATAGACGCTAGATAGAACGCTAGTGAAAATGGACTGGAGGAGACTGGACTGGGATGGGACTGGTACATTATCAAGTAAAAACCAAAAATATAGACGTCACAAACTCCTATTTCAAACTACACATCCACAGAGTACACATTTTGCAGTTTGCTCGGCCTGCGCAAAAAAAGCTTAAAAATATCGTTTTGACATGAATCGTATCGCTCCATGTGCCGATATAAATACAAATATCGTTTTAGGCGATACGATACGTATCTTTTTAAATATCCTATCGAAATATCGTATCGTCTCTCCCGTATCGCGATATTCCGATACGATACGATACGTATCGCACATCACTAAATCAGAGATAGCTAAGAAGGTAAGAGGCTCACATATCAAAAGGTTCAAAACCCATCTGGGCAAGATATTTTTCTCTAGTTTTTTCAACATTTTTTTATGAACTACTAGCTGGCCTGACAGACGTCGTCCTGCCTGTCCTAATGTGGTATAATGTCAAAGGCCCGTTCATTTTCAAGATGAGCTCATTCGCATGGCTCAATCACGTCCTGGTTGAAGTTTGTTCGCTACGCTCACTCACCTTTGGGAGGGAGCTCGTTCGCTGCGCTCACTTGCCTTCAGCTTAGCTCGTACGCTACGCTAACTCGCCTCCAGGTTGAAGTTTGTTCGCTACGCTAACTCACATTTTGGTTGGAAATTAGCTGTTGTCATAAATTAAAAAAAAAATTATAGTGCTGCACCCTGTTGGTAAACCTATTAACTTTTTAATGTATTGAGCACAGCATCACAGAATCAAATTGATTAGTTGAACCAGCTGTTAAGATTCTTTAATTCCATTTAAATATGAGTACTCATAAGGTTAACATGGGAAACTCCAGAGCCACTGGGGCGGAGCCCAGATGGATCTTCACCAAACTTCACACAAACTATCCTTGAATAATGCTTAATAAAGCCTGAAAGTTTCATTACAATCTGTCGAGCGGTTTCGGAGTCCATAAAGGACAAACAAACATACATACATACATACAGTACATGTATAATTAATATTTCCCCTTAAATTTTCAACCAATAAATTTTCTCAAATAAGTTAGAATTTAAATTAAAAAGAAAATATTTGTATTATTATTATTATTATTATTGTAAGCAGGTGTATTATTATTATTATTATTATAAAATGGTAAAAAAAATAGAGTTTGATAGTTATTATGCCCCACGGGGATATCCTATGGATATCCAAAGGATGTCCTGGATATGATCGGATAACATGATTAATTTTTATTAATCATTAGTAACGTTTTTATTAGTTACTAGTGAACCTGTGCGGCTCAATGCCCCGCAAAAACATATGAATTTAGAAAACAAATTCATCGTGTTATATATTGACTCGTTGAAAATTAAATACAGTAATAATAAAGCATTAGAAGGAAAGCAATCCAGCCATTTTCTAGCTGTATGCGTATTATATTTAGTAAATTAATAAGTGTTCAAGTTCAAGTATGTTACAGGGTAGTTATTTTTTTTAAGACTTTTAAAAACACATTTAACAAAACATTTTATCATATCAAACCAATAGGCAGTGAATGTAGCATATACCTATGTAGCATATTTTGAGGGTCATAAAATGCTGCTTGAAGAAAACACTTTTAAAAATAAACACTGAAAAACAATATTTTTTTCACAAAAGCACTTCCATAAATACTACGATTTTAGTCTTAAAGTTAGGCCTACCTTCAGGAATATTACCCTGGTCAGAATTTTCCGTAATGAATATGCTTATCCTACTATTAAAAGATGTAGCCTTACTTAAAACAACATATACATATACAATATACAGTATAGTTGCTCATGACTGAAATTGGTCTGGCTAAGAACATTGCTGCTCTTTAATTAAAGTGCTTGTGCTGCAAATGCCAAAGATAACAGAAATTAGCATCTTTCCATTTTAAAAGGTAACTTTGTTTCAGACGGGCAAATTTGTTATCCTCGAAATCAAAATATGTCCTTACTCACTTGTTCCATGTTAGGACTTTAGATTCTACTTTACATTGTTGTTAACCGTTCTGATCACATGAAGCCTTGTGCCATTAATGAGGCCCTTTTTGATGTATTAATATCAATAAAACCACTGCCTCCTTTTATTTGTATAATCTGTGTCTTGGCAATCCACTGACCTCTATATTTAAAAACTCAGTTTGATTTTCTAGATGGGTGCCTCTGCCTTCGACTGTTTTCGAGGACCCACTCTTCCCCTTGGCATACTGACAATTAATTACCTAACTTGTAAAGTTCATGTAGTAATTCATTAATACTGTTAGTTTATAAAGAAAATTAGATAAAAGGTACTTGGCTTGGTGCTTTCATAACTGCAAACTCAAAATACACCCACAAGTAAAAAAGAATCAAGTTATTGGTTAAAAAAACTATGTTTGTGTAAAAACATTAGTCACATGAAGTAGATGATTTGTTTGATTTCTCGATCAGCTGTTTTGTTTCTAATGAATTAATAATGTCAAAGATTTGTGATTTTAAATACATCAATAAATTATTATAGTAAAATTTTCTAAATATGGTAACTTATTCTCAACTAAATTTTACTATTCCCAGCATGAAAATAAAGTAGTGAGATTGAGATCCATTATGAGTAAAGTTTAAGGCACACAATCCTTGATTGAAATGTAGTATACATTAACAGTCATAATACACAGCAATTATTATGTAGTAGACTTTGACTATTTTCAAGTACCAAACATATGTTTCTGTAAATAAAAATTATCTCTCTTGTTATCCTTATGGAGAAATACGAAACTTTAAAGGGCTCCAGGGCCTCACTAATTATTTCCTTAAAAAGAAAGTTACCTGCACAACTTCACGTTACGCTCTTTCCAATGACACCAAAAACATGTCAATCGGTTCAGTAGTTTCGGAGGAGTAATTGTCACAAAAATCGTGCTTGCGTATTAAATAAGTATAGATTTTAATTCTAAATAGTATTGAAATCCTTTTTAATAACGTTTCTGAAGCACTTGTCACTTGAAAAAATACATCCAATACTATAAAATATGTTTTAATATAGGTAGCCTACCGAGAATATCCATAGGAAGTCCCCAGGATATCCTCATTAGTGGATTTTACAAATAAATTATGAAAAAAGGATATCGTGGATATTCTAGGGATATGCCAAAGATATTCCTGTCCCTCGATCAAAAACCCTAAAAAAATTAATTAATTGTTGTAACGGGAATATGCCAGGAAAGTCCCAGGGATATTCCTATATCTCATGGGATATTGGGACATTTTGGGAACTCTGTGGGATATCCTGAGGATATTCTGTGCTATGTGGAAGATAGAGTTGTATTTGGTGGGCAATGTAGTTAACAGGTAAGATAACATCAGTTCCAAACTACACAAGGATAAGGATAAACCTAATTTATTAATCTTGATTTCCAGGCACAACATGGTACTTGTTTCTTATCAGTTCTTCTTTATCAGCATCAACACCAGAAATTTCAAAGTCATAGTCATTGACAACTTTAACAACAGCATTTTTATAATCTTTGGGACAAATTTTACTCAAGGCTATCAGAGCATAAAATAAGTTGTAGTATATTGGCGAGAGAGGTTTGAGTCCAGCCATTTTCTCCAACTGGCCCATATAATCCTTCAGCTCATCATACAAATCATGATATGTTGTCATGGGTAAATTTCGATCTTGCTTTTCTTTAATAAAACTGTTTAGGTCAGCCAGCATTTCTTCTCTGGATGGAAGTTGAAACTCTTTGAGAGACTTGACAAAAAACAAAGCCTGAAATCAAAAGGGTCATTAGGTTTTGGCTACATAAATGATAATATGATATTTTGGACTCGTTTTATATTGAACAAATGCTTGTACTCTGTTCATAGAACTTAGGCGGTTTTCGGGGAAGAAATCTATTCCCTCCACGACTTAATCTACCATTAAAACATAGCTCAACAGCTGAGATTTGGCAAAACATCATTCAGCTGCAACATATACATAGAAGTAAAAAAATGTGGTAGGGGAAATTCCCCTCAAACCACCTAAATATTGTGAACGGAGTATAGTTCAAGAGATGAACCAGTATTCTTAAAATGTCATGTGGAAAGCGAAAAGGGACCTCTTGTTGGAGATGAAAAATATTCAGTACGGCCGATATAAGTAATTAAGGTCGAAAATATTGAATTTCGGGTCTTTATTGATTGTTATACCTCATTTAACATAGAACATGACAGTATCGGTTAAAATCTAAAATTGAAGATGCAAAAGGTCGAAATAAATCATTTTGTTAGCCTCTGCACGGTCTGAGAAAAGGTACCTCTTGTCGCTCAATGTTATTTCGCCATAACGACAAGAGGTCCCATTTCTAATATTCCCTTTTTAAACAGGTTTTAGTCCAAAAAACGAATTGTCCTGCATTCTAGTGGAAATTTAGAGAACTACAACAAAGTTCAGTTCACGACGAACAAAATATCTCACGAATTTTGTGGTCCCGACAAGAGGTACCTTTTCTTATCTTATGGCGAAATAACATAGGGCAGACAAGAGGTCCCTTTTCTGAAAGCGATTTTTACGACATGCTTCAATAAAACAATTATTCTAAAACCATCGTGAGTTAAGAAATAAATTTGTATTTATTTCAAAGAGGACATTATAAGCTTTCTTTTGATACCAAAATTGTTTCTTAAATACAAAAAACACCATTTTTATGTGTATTTGAAATTTTCAAAACATTTTTTCTCAAAGTGACCCTTTTCCATAACAAAATTTTAAAGTCCTATAACTTTAACAAAACAAAATCATATCATGTGTGGGACTTGCACCAATCGATTCGGAATTTAATAAGGAAGTCAAACATGTTTATAACTCAAAATCAAAAATTCCCAACAAGGGGTCCCTATTCGCTTTCCACATCACAAATATAACCAGCTGATCCAGAGGTGAGGTATATATGCACAATATCTGTGCAATCTGAAATCTGACAAATAATAATTTTCTCTGTGATCAGCTGTTTTAACGATTTGCACCAGTATACTATACAATGTCAATCTTTTGAATAACTGTAGGCCAAATATATATACAGGGTAGGCCTACTATATTCCATCATCCTGGGGACAGTCCTAAATTAAGTGGTCCGTCCCAACCCCAAAACTAGCTTTGAGATGTATGTTATAAGCTTGCAATAATCACAATTTGTGAGACCATTCATGTCAAGTACCCAGTGGCGGATTTACCATAAGGTACACTAGGCACGTGCCTAGGGGCGCCTGTCATTGAGGGGCGGCGCGAGGCCCGTCAGCGGGTGACGGGCGGCACGGCGGCCGCGGAGGCGGGTGCGTGGTGATAGGCTGCGGCGCTACTACTATTAAAGTAGTATTTACCGAATATGCGCCCGCTATTGTGGAAAAAACACTGCGTGAGGGGCGTGAGGCATTCATTCCCCATTACATTTAATACTACTCATATTTACGCTGCGTTTGAGCGTGAGAAAAAGTCTGTGTGGCTGTTGCCTTAAGTGGTTAAGACGACTCACGTTCATGTCGCGACGTGCAGATGCAGACATACGACTGCGAGTAGTGAGCACTGTCAGTGGTGTCATTTTATTGAATTGAATGACAATATAAAACAGGTTTATTTATTACTTTTTTGTAATGATACAGTGGACGTGTTAAAGGCAGTCATACGTTATTTAAGTTTTGGCAGAACAATAACCTATATATGTTTATTTAATCTAAAATGTAAAATGTATTAATAACAGACCCTATTTATTTTATTTATGTGAAAAAACTAACTTTTTTTAACCGCTATTGGTTTTTTTAATTTTTTAATCATTTTAATTACGTAATTATGCATGAAGAAAATAATAATAATGAGTGAAAAAGGTTAAGTGGTGCAGCATTACGCAAACTTAAGGAAAATCGTGAAAGAGAGACTTCCTTTCCTTTTTTGCGAAACACAAAGGGGCGGCCGGCCGAACGGGCCTAGGGGCGGCGCCGTAGGTAAATCCGCCACTGCAAGTACCTACAATTAATGTAATTCAAAAATATAAAATTCCAAGGATAAAATTTTGTACACAAGGATAGGGTACTTCAGGGTTAAAACTGCTGATGAGATTGTATATTCAATATAAATATATAACTTGACCAACTAATACAATAGAATTATGATTTATATACTGAAAGTCTTAATAAAAGAATGTTCGGAAGGCAGTGAAGCTATTACCTGTTGATTAAACAGAGGAAAGGTGAATGTCCTGCGAGTAAGAGCGATGAAGCCCATGGTGGGATGGTTAATGTTGATTACATGTTTGTACAACGGCTCAACATAATTTCCATCAACAATGTTGATGCCACACTCAGGAGAGAGGAACGGAAACGAGTAAATGTAACCTGTTACACAACATATTTCACTGAACTAACTAACACCATAATAAATGAAACGTTGGTTAGTCTATGTTTGCTCTATCTTTTACAATTGCTTTTTTACTTGTAGTGGGGTCGTATAACTGCATATAGTGGCAGAATATTTCAGTTCTGGCAGACAAGCTGCAATTTTAGGTGGTTATAGTATACAAGTTTCTGAACCTAAAACCGCCCAGACCCCAATTTTTAAGGACCTCGGTCGTCCGTAATGACGTCATCAAAATGGCGGCCGTAAGAGGATGCTGGGTCCCCATGAATTGGCTATAACGACCGAATGCCTGAACCGATTTCCATGAAATTTGGCACACAAGTGCTTGAATACATTATCTCGGCCTGGGTTGAAAATGGTCAAGTTTCATCAAGTAATTTCAAAATGGCGGCTGATCAAAACTATTAAAAATTATTAGGAAAATAATTGTGAATTGGTTTATACAGGGAGAGTTTTAAAAGAGTTCCCCTACTTTTTTATACATTTCTTAAGATATCAACTTTGAACCATGTAAGATCATTGTAGAGTAGCAAGAACTTCATTTTGACTGGGTTTACATTTTTGGCCGCCATCTTGGATCCGCCATTTTGGAAACAAAGTTATTTTTCAAATGTAAAGATAGGGTTGTGACCCACCGTTTCAAACAAAACCTTTACGCTGAATACGATGCTGCAATCCGTTAAAAAAAATGTTGATCCATTCTAAAATTATGAGAACATTTTATAACTTTATTTTTAGTCCATTATAACATTGTGGATTTACAAACTAAGGCCATAATCTCAAAATAGTGCTAGATAAGGATAAGGGGACACCACCATTCATTGTTTACCTATTTTAACTCGGTTATGACGGATGTATTTTTCAGCCGCCATCTTGGATCCGCCATTTTAAAATGTGATAAATTATTTTAAATATGAAGGTGGTGTTGTGACCCATCATTTTGAACTACTTTTTTATGTTGAATTCAATGCCGCAATCCGTTTTTCATTGTCATGTTTGGTTTTTGAAATATTGACATTTTAAATAAAAATAATTGTTATATTTTATCAAGAAAGCTTGATAACGAAAAACGGATACAATAAAAACTAGTTGAAATGAAGTAATCGCTACTCTACAATTATCTGACGTGGTTTGGAGTTGATATCTTAAGAAATGTATAAAAAAGTAGGGGGGAACTCATTTAAAACTTACCCTGTATAAAACTATTCACAATTATTTTCCTCATAATTTTTTTAGTTTTGAATGGCCGCCATTTTGAAATAACTTGATGAAACTTGACCATTTTCAACCCAGGCCGACATAATGTATTCAAGCACTTGTGTGCCAAATTTCATAAAAATCGGTTCAGGCATTCGGTCGTTATAGCCAATTCATGGGGACCCAGCATCCTCTTACGGCCGCCATTTTGATGACGTCATTACGGACGACCGAGGTCCTTAAAAATTGGGGTCTGGGCGGTTTTAGGTTCAGAAACTTGTATACTATAACCACCTAAAATTGCAGCCTGTCTGCCAGAACTGAAATATTTTCCTGCTACCCAACCTGACTATTGAGGACATCTGTACATATGGACCAGCTGTACCGGTAGCAAATTTTAATAAAATTTGGTATATAGTAGAATATTGTAATATTTGTTCAAGGAAAGCCTTTAGGCAATGATTTTGAGTTTAAGAATAAAGGAATGCTCTAGCTTAACTTAGAGGAAATGCAGTTAGACCATAGAATAAACAAAAGACACATAATATTTTGTCCTCTGGGGGACTTTTTCGAGTGTAGACAAATAATGTCCACAAAATGTTTCTGTAAATCCTTTTGTCTACTCTTGAAAAAGTCCGACAAAATATTGTGTATTTTGTGTCATATGTGTGTAGTATAATAAGCTGTTTGCAGGGTGATGATTCATTTGTAAAAAATATTTTTTCTTTTAGTTTATAAATAGGCTATTTTGATAATTTTTTTACATACAAGATGTTATAATTTACAATAATATGTCTTTTGGTACGGCTTGGTTTGAAAGATGTTGTATAAGACAGAAACATGTAAATGACAGCAAACTTAATTGCCCAAATATGTACATTTTTATTCAACGTACTTACATGTACATTCATACAACGTAGGAATAACATTTGTACTCTTATCAAAGCGTTTACTTTATGTAAAAAGGTTACCAAAGGGTATTTAAAAAAATTGTAAATTAACCATACGTCAGTTGTTTTTACCAACCTGTGCATAAAATTATGACATCAATGTGTTCGGAAGTTGTATCATCGTCAAAGATAACATGGTCGCCGAGAACCTCTTTGACAAGTGGAACCTCCTCGACATTATCAGAGAACAGGCCTAACTTGGCTGCTCTGTGACTAAGATATACCTGGAGATAAATGTAACTTTGTTATTATCATGTAGCATAATTTAAAATCTACATCTATAAAGGAGGAAGTATGTATGAATGTATATGTATGCATGTACCCTATGGACTCCGAAACCGCTCGACAGATTGTGATGAATCTTTCAGGCATTATTAAGCATTATTCAAGGATGGTTTGTGTGAAGTTTAGGTCCGTAAAAGGGCTCCGCCCCAGAGGGTTTTAAGGGGTCCAATGTCAGACTTTTGGAACTACAATGTTTACAAATAAATGTAATTTAAAAGCAGACGTTTACTTTCACCAACTGTTTTGTAGGTTACAATAATCACAACATTCTGTATTAGTCATGATTTGAAATAGTGCCACACCCCAATCCAAATTTAAGGTTACACTAATTTCCATATTTAGTGAAATAGTCCAAATTTATTAAACCCCAATCTCAGCACTCCTGTGCACTCAACAACGTTTAAAATCTCCACTATTAAATACCCTATGTAACCATAAAATGTAAAAAAATACTCATATAAATTAGTAATATTCGTACAACAATAAATGACAGATAAAATTAGTCAAAAATGATTGCACATATTCCATTCCTGCCATCCTGCCCCAGTATAAAATATTGATTTAGCATATAAACGTAACAGCAAAATAAAACAAACCAAAAATAAATGGAGGTAAAGAGAGCCCTCCACCTCAAATTGAGGGTTAGCTTTGTAAACTAATGTTAACTGATATTAACACGTTGCCTACCGGCCGTCACACTCAGTTGTATGAGGGGCGTTGTGAGAGGTGGTAGCGAAGGAGTTAATTTATTTAAAAAATACATATTGAATAATGTTACTGTGGAATTTTCTGTTTATGGATCCAAATTTATTTTGCAATAGATTTTTAACAGTGTTTAGTGGCAGCAAACCTGAGACTCACTTATTCTGAAATATCAATAAAAATAATTTCTTTGAAGAGCATATTTCCTCGTAACAACCTAGTAAAAAAATTCATAACTTCCTTATTTAGCAGTTTTGTTGCAATGGGGTTGTTTTGGATCCTTGAACAAACCTTAGATGCAAATTTGGATGTGTCAAACGTGACATCGGTGCCAGAGAAACCTGCTCCGACCACCAACAGAGTTTGATCTTTGAACACTTCCGGGACTCTATAACTGTGGCTGTGAAATACTTCACCTTGGAAACTTGTTATCCCTGGTAAATCTGGGACTTTGGGTACACTGAAGTGGCTGAAAATGAAAATGAAGTGGTTAAAAAATAAAGTTTTGAACTACATAATTTTATACAGTAAAAATTAACGCAACCAAAACTACACTCAATGTTCTGTCCAGCTATTTCTAAATAATATGGTAGTCAAAAACATACAACCTTTAGCATGGATTACTGCTAACATCGTCATTGAAGAATTCTATCACAGACTGACGTTAGTTTAACGGCGTTCATTTATTTTGCTGAAAAATTTTATCACAATTTGTTGCAACACTCTAAACTGCAGAGTAAAAAGATCTGCTTACCAATGTTAAGTTACTGTACATAGGATAGTTTACCATTTTTATTTTTGTGTGAAAAATTTGTTGATACAGTTTAGTTTTGGATGTTGATGAGCATTTCGGGAAATAAAGTACAAAAGTTAAAAAAAGGAGGTGTTTGAAAGTTTTTTTTGTCAAGTCTTATATGATTGAAAGATTATCAGCTATAGTTCGGCCGCTTAGAAAGCGACCTCCTCCAGCATTGGTTTAGCATTAGCGCGCAGGTCGTTTTCTAAGCGGCCGAACTATAACAAGCCTATCTTTTCAGCTATGTTTACCGTAGTTCATGTCTTGGAAATGTTTGTATTTTCAATAAATGATACCGTTACATAGATTTAATATTCTTACCCAATACAGACAGCAACGGCATCAAAATAATCAACATATTCTCTGTTCCTTAGAAGATCAACTGAAACCACATGCCACTTGTCTTTCTCAGGCTTCACACATTTCACACTGTGAAAAAACTGAAAAAAAATAAAATTTTAAACCTACCAGCATAACACTTGTTTAATAGGTTTAACCATAGACAAAAAGAATGAAATATAGACTGTCAGCCGTGCTGCGGTTACCATGGTTACCATAGGTTCCGGCGCACACCGCAGTATAGTTTACGTAGCGTGTACGCTGTAACTACCGTGGCACTCCAAGCGGTGTGCGCCAGAACCTATGGTAACCGCAGCACAGCCGACGGTCTATATTTAATTCTTTTTGTCTATGGTTTAACTCTACTGCAAGGGAAACAAACAGTATCAACAAATTGACAAACATTTTCTCCCATTTGCAGTGCACAATCAACAATTCTGAATCATTATTGCAATTCATTTAGTACTATATACATTTATCTGTTTTGACTTTGAGTCTTATTTCCATAATCATGACTATTTGTAGGAGTTATAATAAATGAAACTCGTCTAAGTGTTCTCTAAGGTACCAAAAAAATCACATAAAATAGTTCAGGAACATCCTTTGACTCCACTTGATATAATTTGGAATAAAACTGACCAATCACAAATCATACAATTATACCAACTGACACTAATTGGAAATACTCTGTAATCTCAAACTCACTTTGATATGATCCTTCAAATTGAAGTGATCACAGTAATCTTCAAGGTAGTGTAAAACCTCTGAGGCATCCGTGAAAGTATTCTCGCTTATGAACGGAAAGTCTGGAAACTGCGTGATCATTGTTGGAGCATTTGTTCTGAAATAAATAAGAGACATTATTTCTTTATAATTTAGGCGTTCCATTCCCAAACTCACTTATCAACAATTTTATTTATTTTGAGGTATTATCATCACTAGATTTGTTGGTAAAATCTGTATTGACTTTTAACATTAAACCGGTTCAAAACTTACTTTTTCCATTTATAATTTAATGTATTTTAAGGCCCTCATGATTCACTCATTTACAGCCTCATCTTCATGACGTATTTGATATAATTGACGTTCACCTGAATTTGTAGCCTTTCCGGACTCTCTCTTTCCATATGGCCAGTCACGTTGCTTCAAATTGTCACGTGACTCTACTAGTGTAAGAGAATGTTATACCAAAGCTCACTCAATACTATTGTACTATTTATATTTATAATAATATATTTGCATGTACTGTTGTGTCATGCAAAACTCACTCTTACAGGTGTTTTATAACAAAATTTACTCCTTAGGTACAGATTTTGAAGCTTAATCTCAGCCAAACAACTGTTAAAAATAGGAAAAAAATATTTTAAGAGGTTTCAGATATAATTTTCCACAAAGGTAATCCCCAACAACAGAAAAACATGAGGGTTACAATCAAGAAACATGTGTAAAGTTTGCTAAACTGCAATGAGAGAGTTTTGGAATGGAATGCCTCATGCTATTACAGCCAAAAATTGCCAGTATTCAACAATGTCATTGGAGTACAGGCAAAAAATTGCCTTAATAGAGGTTCCCCTTTCAATAAAAATAGAATTGGATATATTTTCATCACTATAGAATGTGTTTTCATAACTCTAGCAATTAAATTTATTGAACTTAATAAAAGGGTTGTCTCTGCATCTGTAAATCAAGTCTTCATCAAGTTGAAATATGAGACCAAGTCATGTTCTATACTTCATCCAGCCGGTTCCCCCCACCCTTATGGAACAATTGGTCTTGTCTTGGTATTTGAAGTCGTCGTAAATGAAAATTGACGCTACTGTCAAATATAAATATTGTTCTGTGATTAGGTTTCTACAAGAAGGTCAATTCCTATGCGAATTATTGTTGCCAGTTGACAGATTTGTTAGCTGAAAAGTTTTTCGACGTAGCATGACACAATAGCTGAAAAATCTGGCGAGAGTAAATAATATGAAAGAAACAACATTTTGTCTCACCTGAGATTTTTATACATGGATGAAGTAATGGGAAGACCAAACTCATCAGTGCCAGTAGCTTCAGTATATACCCAGGTACCTCCGACATTTCCTGTTTGCTCATACACTATGCAGGAGAAATTGACGTTGGCAGTGAGATGACGAGCCACACATAGTCCTGATGCTCCGGCACCTATCACTGCTACACGCATCACTGAAATTAACGCTATCAGCAAACTGATGCATACTTTCTCCCATTAGTGACATTGGAATTGAACATACCACTATACACACTTTTACAAGTAAAAAATTTAAAACTTATTCAGTAAATGGATGGGTATAGGGTTTCTAGGGGGAAATTCACAAAAAATTACTACTTTTGAACCGTAATTTTTACAGGATTGGGGTTGTGCCATTTCATGGTAAAAAGAACTACCCAAGAGAAAGAAAAAAAGAAGGTACATACAAAATCGTTAGAGCTGTTTTTATAAAAATAAGATCTTCCCATTAATTTATGGGTTTTAGGTAATAATAACAATAAAAAATCAAGAAAACTAAGAAACAACTGGTGATAAAATGAATAGGATTCACATATCAGATTTTACAAAAAACGGATCACAAGTGTAGTCTCAAGCTCTGTATACATTCACACACAGACATCACTTTAAAACCCACTTTTTGGATTCAGGCAGGAGCACCCAAAACTCAAACAGAAAAATTTTGACTAAAACAAACTTTTCTCCATTATACTTTGTACCTACAGGGGAAGAAAAGGAAACCTAGTCAAACAGACATTTCCTTCAATAAAATCAGTGATCGGAGCTTAAAGTACAGCTGAATATTCTCCAATGCAGCTGATTATTCTTCTAGGGATAAAAATGAACTACTTTAGACCCAGCACTTTCATTAAAAACAATTATCTATTGGTGCAGTATAGTGCAAATTTTTAAAATTTATTCCACTGTTAAAACTTTTATATAAACGTTTTCTGCCATAAAACTACCAAAACTAGACACATACACACCTACCGGTACACAAATGATAGGTAAAGGTGAGAACAATGTTCTTTGTTGGGTTCTATATAATTCACTACACACAATGTGAGAAGGATTAGATAAAACAAACTAGCTCATAACTTAGCAAAGATAAGACTTGTAAAACAAGAGGCTTAGGAAAAAGCCTCTTCTAGAGTTGTACTTCATTAATGTTATAATTTCATAACTATAGAAATATGCTACTAAAAATACTCTTAGTATGTCAAATATTTCAGTTGGTTCAATTTTGTTTAAATGGGGCACGAAATTGGATTTAGAAACACTTATTGTGAAGGTTTTATAATTGCTCAGACCACCGCAAAACAATGCTAATTTGAGGGGGGAGGCATCATCTTTGTCTTCTGCGGTTGCGAAAAAATCATGAACGTCATTTGTGGTTGTAGAGAAAATTGTTTTCGATTGCGCAATCTCCCAGATCATTTGGGCGTTCATAATAGCTTGGCCTAAAAATGGGAGTCCCCAAAAATTATTGATAAAATTAATTTAACAACAGAAATAAAATTCCTTCAAGTCCAATCCCAAGGCAAAGCCTCAGACCACCACCGTCGGCTGGGAAATACGGCCTTGTCTGCAGGTACATTTTTCTAAGGTGCTCCCGTAGAATACAGTAAACCAGTCAGAACTCCTGTTACATCCAGAGCTAAACAAAGGTTTAACCTTATCCTCTCTTCAGGTATTATAGTTAGCAATATATTATACATTATAGTTATAGTAGTAGGCCTATTATAGTTAGCCTGCCTAATTCTCAGATATTTCCATATTTTCCGCTCCCATTTAAAACACAATTTGGTCTATTATGTTGACTGAAAACATTGCTGCTATAGAAAATGTAGCATTGTTTAAGGCAAAGGTGGATTGATTGCTGAGTTGAGGATAGGGCAAAGGTGGATTGATTGCTGAGTAGATAGGGCAAAGGTGGATTGATTGCTGAGTAGAGGATAGGGCAAAGGTGGATTGATTGCTGAGTAGAGGATAGGGCAAAGGTGGATTGATTGCTGAGTAGAGGATAGAGGAAAGACACTCCATTGCAACCAATCTTTTAACCGAACAATTTTCTCAGGTTGTCAAAAAGTCTAAACCATGACAAATGCTTTTGTTATGATTCAAGAAGAGGAGTTAATAAGAATAACTAAAATTTAAAACTTATAAATACAAAATTAAACTAAAAAATATATAACACTCAGAGGTAAAAGGATAAAAAACAAATAAAAACAAAAATAATATATTTATTATGCTTCCACAAATGTAAAATTAAAATATGAACGTTTGCATATCACAATTAATGTTTGATTTTCATCAAAGGTATAAAAATATACATCCCTCACCCCAACATAGATAACAATAATATATTACATAAATTGTTGATATACAATGTAACTTTGAACTATAATATCACATCATAATAACAATATAAAGTTATGGAAAACAAAATATCAGAAACAATAGTATGTAACGTTTTAAAATCTTACGTTACAGAGCATCTAGTTGTTATCCCATTCCACACAGAGATTTGATAAATAAGGTACTGCGATAACGTAAGAAAATAATCAAAAGTGGTCAATAACATTAATTAGTTGTTACAACGATGTGAAGGTGTCAATAAGCTCATAAAAAAAATTGGAGAAAAATATTGCTTTGGCAGACTTAAATAAAATATCTTGAAGATACAGGCTACAAATTATTTGTGATATTATACCATTTAAAAAAATTATCCTATTTTGTGTTCAGTTGCTCATTTTACAGTGAGGTTTAAGGTTATTTTATGGATTAAGAAATTGCTATAACTGAATTATCAAGGTCAGCGTTGTATCCATGTTCAGTATAAATAACTTGGGTCAATTGAGCTGCCAAAAGCAGATAAAACACTGTTTTCTTACATTATTGCCTAATGTTTGATCATGACAAATTCAAATGGCAATCTATTGTAAAAAGCATCCAAGTAATAACTATTAAGGTATGAAAAAACCGAAAGAGAAAATAGAGCTTTATTAGCTCACTCTGTAATGGGTTTAATTATGTTTCAGCTAACACCTCAGGAAACAATAAAGAGCACTCCAAAATTGTTCAGGTGGTACATAATGATGAATTGGACTTGCCTTCAGAACACATGTCCAAAAAATACTCCTTTGGAAAGCCTTTCAAAGTACTTATTAGTACTTTGAAAGGCTTTCCAAAGGAGTATTTTTTATACCAGATTTTTTATACCAGATATTTTTTTTTTATACCAGATAGGCAGTAGCGTAGCCAGGATTGAGTCAAGGGGAGGGTTTTCACATAGCTGATATGGAGGGGGGTTTGAGGGCCGCAGCTGTAACCTATGAAATAAATAATTTAAAAAATAACTAATGGCCACAAAAATCAAGTGTAAGATGTTATTTAAAAATGTAATTAGGTACAGTTAGTAGTAGATTTGTTATTTGCACCCTCTAATACATTTTATTTTTCAACGTTCTTCATATGCACAGTTCCACTTGAGAACTAAGCATAACCAGGTCCAGTTTATTCAGTACGTTATGTATTGTCTATTACTAAAAACTTTAACCAGGCGGTGGATCAACTATGGTCAATAACCTATAGATGCCTCTAAAATTATGTTACCTAACCTCATTATCCATTTGAAATTCGCAAGAAAAGTTATAAATTGTGTTTTTTGAATGTGTTAAAAATATTTAGGCTAAACATTTTTCGACCATTATTTGTATGCAGTAGTTTTCCAGATTATTGATTTGGAAACATCACAGTTGTTTATTTGACAAAATTAAAATGGAAGCATAACGATGAAGTATCGGTTGATAGCTTCAAGGTCAAGCTATGCGCTTGCACGGCACTGACAGACGTCTGCTCCTTAGGCCGGTTTCACACGAGCCACAAACGTGCCACAATCGTCGGCAGAAACGCGCCACTGGCAGCGCTCAATCGCGTGGGACCTTTCAGATGGCAAAAACATGATTCCACGATTTCCATCAGTTTATCGCCATTTCATACCGCACCTCCCTGAAATAAACCAAAACACCAGTCCGCTTGGAAAGACTACGAGTGCAGTTCAGTGCTACAATGGACGATAAAGAAGACTTATTTTTTATAATGCTTCTTCATGCGGTACGACGTCATAGAGTATTTGAGTAATCTATACATTCTTGGTCCCACAACACTGGCCTACACCCTACTTCTACGATAAAACGGTCTGTGTCAAAGTCAGATATAACTTAATGTTATAAAAGTAAAAAAAATCTTAACAAAACAGGGTGACTGGTTGTTTTGACTGTCTGAGTGGCAATAACCACCTACAAACGCCAAAATTGTCGAGAACAGAGCCACTGCATGCGATTGCAGCGCGTTCTAGCGTTAAACGCAAAAAGACGCCACTTTGTGTGAAAGGCACGCCGTGTTCCAATGTTAAGTGAATGGGGCTCTTCTTTTCTGTGTCAGGTTGCGATTCTCTCGCGACAAGCGCGCCACAACAGTCAGAAGCGGCGTTTCGCGATTGTCGGGCGCTTTGTGGCTCGTGTGAAACCGGCCTTATACAAAACACATCATGTCTGTCTGCTGTTCACTATTTCACAATGTTTGACCATAATGCTTGTGACTGGGTAATTACTGATCAGTAACCAAGGAAACTTAATAAATGTGTGGATAAAAAGAAAGAATAGACAACCTAAGAGAATGAGTAAGCAATGTTTTTATGTCATTAATTGTTCTACCTTCATCTTACTATTAGTGTTGTCATGTTATTATCTTTAAAAAGGTTACGGTACTATAATTTTATACTTTTTTATGAGTTATATAGTTATTAATATTTTATCGACATTATTCCGTCTTAAAACAGGTCGTATCAGTACCCTACTTACTACAAGTAGGCTAACAATACTTAAAAATTAAATAGCAGTATAACTTACTAGACTTTCTATTGTTCTGTTCTTTACGTGATTTATTGCTGTACGGTCTTTTATTTTTTGTTTGAGTTAGGTGCGGTTTTAAACGCTAGTTTATACTGTATTACTAACCAAGGTTAATGACAACTTATCATGATTGTGCAATACTACTGTAATTGTATTTTTATTATGTGAAAAGCAAATTAATCATCACAATAATGTTCATTTATACAGTATTAGGAGTTTTTATGGTCAAAATCGTAAATATCTTTCACAATCACGGCAAAATCCTTTCGTCAAGGGGGGTTTTATGACCCCCAAAACCCCCCCCCCCTTGGCTACGCCACTGCAGATAGGAAGGATTGGTCTGGCGGAAAAGGACCCATACCCACAGATGATTTAGAATGCTACACTGATGGTTCTAAGATAAAAAATGGGGGCACTGGAGCAGGTGCGCATTGTATAAATGGAGGCACTGGCATTCTGTTTTGTGCTCGAGAACATCTTAACAAAGATATCAGAGACAAAACAATCAATATCTTTACTGATAGTAAAGCGACCTTAAAAGCACTAAACTCTTACGAATTCAACTCTAGGCTCGTGTGGGACTGTCTTGCTTCTGTGTCTGAGTTGGGTAGGAGAAATGACCTACCACCTGCTTAAACTACCACCTGCTACCAACCACCTGCTAGTGTCCACCTGCTACCTGCTTTGCTGGGTGCCAGGACGCTCAGGCATAAAAGGTAATGAAGCTGCAGATAGATTGGCAAATACTGCCTCTGCTACAACAATGATAGGCCCACAATCCTTCTGTGGCATCTCACGAAACAGTGCATGTTCTGTGATTGCGCCATGGGCCAAGGAAAAGCAACGCAAACGCTGGGTCGATGTTCCCCTTCTTAGGGTCAGCAAGCTTACTCTGTTTAGGCCTTCCAAAAAGGTCGCCTCTGACCTCTTGAGACTAGACAGACGAAGAATTAAATTAACTGTTGAACTGATAACTGGTCATGGGAGATTCAGGAAACATCTACAACGGATGGGCTTATATGATGGTGAACCGATCTGTAGGTACTGTGATAGGTCAGAAGAGACAGCTGATCACTTACTCTTTGATTGTAACGAGCTCTCTGACGCTAGATTGATAACTCTTGGAAATATGGCTAGAGGTAGACATCTTCCTGAGGATGAACTAATTGGGAAGCTACAGGCATTCATTGGGCGCCTTAACTTGTAGGTCAACAAAAAAAGCAATTGTCTGGCAATAATTCGATTTCGGATGAAGTGCTTTAAGGTCTCGACCTGCCCCTGTTAGATAAGATAAGATGTTTCAGCTACAGCTCGTTTAGAAGTTTAGATGGAATGTCTATTTCACTATCCTTAATACATGCTCCATCACAGAGATGACTTACAAATTACTACTAACAGGTCTAATATGGTATTTATTACTAATCAGCTCTTCCTTATCAACTGGTACTCCAGAGATTTTGAAATAAAAGTCATCGACCACTTCAAAATTAGCCTCTCTGTAACAATCCAGGTATTTTTTCCGAAGTTCAGTTGTTGCGTAGAATATATTGAAGTAGATGGGAGAAAGAGGTTCTAATGATGCCATCGACTCAAGCCGCTGTATGTAAGTTCTGACCTCGTCATGGATTTCATGATAAAACTTAAGAGGTATTCCACGGTCTTGTTTTTTCCTTACATATTCTTCTAGTTCAGCCATCATTTCATCTCGACTTGGTAGTTGGAACGTGCCGCTCAGTGATTTTAAAAAGAACTTGACCTGTAAAAAAATATAGGTTGTAGTCACAATAGCAAGCTTAGAAAATAACTTTACTTTATGAACAAATTATCAAATTTTTGTGTATGTTGAGTGTCAAGTGTTCTAAACTCTCTTATGAATTCAAAAGGCATTAGTTATTTTTCTAATATCCATTGCTTAAATTTCAAAAATTAAATATTAACACAAAAGGATATATATTTTTTTAAAAGGAAAATTTTATCATTTAATACAGTTTTGTATAAAGAATTGCACGCCATTTTACCACAAATAAATGTATTTTTTTATTAATAAAATATTAGGCTTACCTGTTGATGGAACATTGGGAAAATGAATGTCCTGAAAGGAATGCCGATGAAAGCCATTGTGGGATGATTGATGTTGATAAGATGATTGTAGAGTGGCTCAACATATCTCCCATCAACAACAGTGATGCCACATTCAGGAGAGAGAAACGGGAACGAGTAGTTGTAACCTAGAAAACAAAATGGCCGATGAAAATCATTGTTAAGTCAGTGTTAATGACATTCACTTGTAATCTACCATCTACAACAATGATGTCACTCAGAGAAAGAAAGAGTTGAGGAAAAAATACATGCACTTGAGTTTGAATTTGAAATATCTCTGAGATGAATAATCAGGTTCAGTTTAAAATATCAATTTGAAGCTAGTTTGAACCCATATCACGTATAAATCATAAACAATTATATTTTAAGGGAAAAATTCATATTTGGATTTGTTAAAAAAGATTTCTCTCGTTAGTCATTACTATTTTTTTTTTTTTTTACTTTATAGTCCACTGTCAAATGTACACCCGTGTGCTCCTTGATGAGGCAGGTGTGGGAGTAGTCTTAATCTCTTCGTTTGACCTTGGAGAAATACAATTTCGATGGTGGCACCCTTGAAAATGGTGCGTTTGAACGCTGAGGGTAAAAAACAAAATGGCCGCCATTTAAATGTTTAAAGTCAAATTCCATGAAAACCAGCTAGTAAAACAAAATTTTGCAACACATTATTTAAAGGCCTTTTTATTACAAATAGAATGGCACTTTATTTGCGACAATCGGATAATAAATAAAAAAGTTAGGTTACTTTTATTATTAATAGTAATTATCAAAATGGCAGTCATTTTGAAATCACAAAGTTAAATTCCATTGAAACTAGTGACTAAAAAATAATAAAATTTACATAACTTTTTTATTTATTATTCGATTTTCGCAAATAAAGTGTCGTTCGATTTGTAATAAAAAGGACTTTACATACTGTGTTTCAAAGTTTTGTTTTAATTGCTGGTTTTCATGAAATTTGACTTTAAAAAACTTTAATGGCCGCCATTTTGAAATTCGATGAGCCTGATGATCAAAGATTTTTTCAGAGAATGTTAATCATAAATCTTAAATAAATCTTTATTGGTCATTAAATAACATATGTTACAATAGACCTCGTTAACAAAAAAAGGGCCATAGATTCTAGATAGTATAACATGGTCTATAACATGGAATCTTCACTAAACTTAAATATAACAAAGACAACAAGAAAATAAAGCTAAAATCATTTGAAAAACACAGAACTATATATATGAAACAAAAGTGAGGTACTTAAACAAGTGTTTGAAAGACTAGGTAACAGTTGACTAGGGACTAAGTAAGAACTAGATAACGATTTTACCATTACAATTGTATTCTGCAAAAAATTCATCTAAACTGTAAAAAGGGTGGTCAGCAATCCAAACCATCAACTTTTGTTTTAGCCGAGTACAAGGAATGTCAAGTATTTCACTTGCAAAACAATTTACTATTTTTACTGATATACTAGCAAAACTTTGCTGTACTGTTGTTAGTCTGGTGTAGGGCCTATCCAAAGCAGATCTTCCCCTTGTGTAATATGAGTGAAAATTATTTCTTGAGCTAAAGAAATGTGAATGTGAATGTTTTAATAGTTGTAGACTTAAAGTTTATACCAAGTTTCATAAAAATATCTCCAAGAGCTTTTGAGTTATGAATTATTTTCAAAAAATAAAAAATGGCGGATTACGGCTAAACTAAGCCGAAATAAAAAAAAAATGTTATACAACATTTTCGACTTATTTTTGCACATAGAATCTGAATCTGCATAGCCCGTTACGCTTTACTGAAACACCCTTTATTACTTTTTGAAATATTTAACTGTCCTGGGACATTACATCCACCCTGATTAATTTACTTATGAAAAATATAAAATTATGTTTTATGAAAGAATGGTGTATCCTACATAAAAACTTTGATAATCTTTTTTGTGCAGATTTGAAATAGCTACATTTTGGTATCAACAATTCTTTCATAACTCTAACGGTTACTGATATAAGTAAGAAAAGAAGTTTGCGACGGCAGCCATTTTGTTTTTTACCCACAGCGTTCAAACGCACCATTTTCAAAAGTGCCACCATCGAAATTGTATTTCTCCAAGGTCAAACGAAGAGATTAAGACTACTCCCACACCTGCCTCATTAAGGAGCACACGGGAGCCTGTATATGTACATTTGACAGGGGACTATTAATTCATCTTTCATTTATCTGATGATGGTTGGAAATTTAATTTAAGTTAATCAGCTGTTAAATTAAAATTCATATCTATATATTTATTCAGGGCCGCATTAAGGGTCAATGAAGCCCTGGGCAAACTCAAAAGCAGCGCCCCCCTTTTTCCCTAGTGCGGGCAGTAGATGGACGTGCAGTGCCTGCCAGGCACCCCTCAACCACCGGCGCCCCTGGGCATATGCCCAGTCTGCCCGTTTGTAAAACGGACCTTCATTTAATTTGAAACAGTTTTTTTTGTCTCCACTAACCATCATGGTTTTTGGGTGTAGAAACTTGGTAGAGGTGTCTTGGTTTGTAGATAAGCCATCAAAAGATAAAAGAGGTAAACTCCCTTGGGGCGCTGCTCCAGCGGTTTTAAAAGAACATTTAAGTAGGTCAGGTGAAAAATAGGTGTCGTATAGAAAACCCTTATTGCATTAAGTGAATAGAAGATATGATTTTAGCCTTGGAACTAGTTGAATTTATCAAACACAAACCTGTACATATAAGAATAGCATCGATACGTCCAGAAGCTGCACCATCTTGAAAGACAACGTGATCACTGAGAACCTCTTTGACAACTGGAACCTCCTCAACATTATCAGGATACACGCCTTTCTTGACTTCTCGATGGCTGAAGTACACCTGGGAAAATAAGTTATATAAGACTTGAACAGAAATCTTTAGCATGAGTGACCAAATCAAAGCTGTCGACATTCAAAAAATTTTAAGATCGAAAATCAAAATATTAGCTTTAAAAACTAGGCCCCCCTAACTACCTTGGAAGCGAACTTTGCGAGGTCAAAGGAGATGTCTACTCCAGAAGGTCCGCCCCCACAGACGAGCACGGTCTTGTCAGTGAATCGTTCAGGAGTCCTGTAAGAGTGGCTGTGTTGAACGATTCCTTGGAAACTCTCAAGTCCCGGAAAAGCCCCCACTCTTGGAACACTATAGTGTCTGCAAATAAAATAACTGTAAGTGAGATAAAGAAGAATGATACATTAGCACAGATGATTTGAATACCATGTCATAGAGATGTGTTTAATGTCAAGGGCTGTTAAACTATACAACCTTATGTATCTAGTTTGTCGAGCAGTTGGTAAATACAGGACATTTTAGCCTCACTTACGGCAAACAAATAGAAAAAGTCAATTTGAAACTGTGGGAATAAATGCTATTTGGTACTTCCGCTTGATTACTAGTGTTTTCCTTACCAATGAGTGCTTCTCTAATAATTTTTTTGGTTAAAATTCACTTCCTCGCATCGTCAAAAGTTACCCTTAATGAATCTTTCTATAAAACATTAAAACATTACAGTTTCCATTTTTTTCTACTATTTCTTACTATTGTTAAGTATATTTTGTTAAGATTTTACAGTCATTGAAAGAACATAAAATATTTAACAGTACACATTATTATTTCCAACACTTGTTGAAAGTGCCAAAAAAGCTGACCAAACATTTTTCTTTATTCAAATTGCATGAAATGACATCCTGACTGAAAATAATGAAAATGACGTTTTGCAGTAAAGCATGGTCATGGAAAATTAGTGTTAACAACCTAATTAGTGTTAATTTACTGAGTAGAGTTTTTATTTCCTTAATAAGTCAATTAACAAAGATTTTAGCATCCTTCTGCAATCAGTTTTATCACAGCGACACTTTGATTGGAAATGAACCTTAACATCAATAATTCTTCAAGAAGGTGATTGAAAAAATAAAAAGTAATAATGTTTTGAAACACACAAGGTTAAAAAACACACAAATTGTTCTAAAAAACAATTTTATACTAGTTTTTAGGAATTTTTACAAAAAAGTGACGGAAATTTTCAAAGCGCAATTTTGAGAATTGTTTTAGGTCTGATATTTGATAATCCTACTATAAACTTTTGTCAGTTTTGTATAATTTAATCATCACTTAAGTTGCTAAAAATTCTATGAACAAAAGTAAATTTAGCTATGTTACCAATTTTAAAGAAAAACAACTTTTACTGGATCACTAAACTGGAATTTGGGTAAATTACAATTTGCTAATTCTTTTTATTAGAACAGATTTTAATACTTGATGTCCTTACCCGATGCAAACAGCGACAGCATCACATTGATCAATAAATTCTCGGTTATTCGGAAGATCAACAATTAGCAACTCCCATTTTCCATCTTTGGGTTTTACTTGTTTAACATGGTGGAAAAACTACAACACACATCAATTTGTAATTTTGTATCCCAAGAGTTAGTATACACTTAGTTACATCATAGACTAAGCAACCCAAAGGAGTATGTTTTATCTGTGGTTACACATCTGTAGTCATCATTTTGAATCCGAGTATAGTTTAACGTGTGTTGTTTCTGAAATACAATATTCAAGTTTAAGTATAACATTTTTCAAAATGATTAGGCCTGATTTATTAGTGAAACAAAAATAGAAATACTGGTTGTTTACTAAATTGTAATACATTTTTTGCCACACTACACTATTTAAATGGACTTTCCACAAAAGGATTTAGTCCAGAAAACAGCTGTTTGCCGCCTGCTTAGTCAAATGGGTTTTCGTTACCTACTACTGTACTGTAATACATTTTTACCGGACACCAGCTGGTTAAAAAATGAGTGGTTGCATCATAATCAGTGGCAATGAGAATGAGCGGTTGTTAAGTTTTTAACCCTTTCGCCTATCATTTTAGGGCTCCGCCTCAATGTACTAGGTTTAATATATTATGCAGATCATTAAGCCCACCAGTATTTTAACTCCAAATTATAGCCTACTAATGATAACAATAAAATATAAAATAAATTTTTTGTTGCCATAAAATGAAACGGTTGCAAAAACGAACAATGTCGGCTCACAGCCGACAGCAGAATCGAAAGGGTTAAGTTAGTTTAGAATAGAATGATGAAAAATATTGTACATCTCTCGTCCAAAATGTTTTCCATACTCATCCGGTAAACAGCTTATTTTCCAGATTAGTATGTAATATACTATTTCGCCAAACCACTGTGAAATAACCTGTTTTTGTTACATGTTTATCAACTGCAAAAATTCATTATTACATTGCTTACTGCGGAAAAAGAATGTTTACCATGCAAAAGTAATGTTTACTATCTTTTTGGACGTAAACAAACAAAAGATTTGTTATTTTTTGTCAACTGTTTCAATTTTCAACAACTAAAACTGAACAACCAATGTAAATAAATACTAACTTTAAATTGAAAGGCATACTTAAAAAATGCTATGAGTTTTGTAATGTTCCTAACTGTAATAAAGAAGTATCCAATGTCTGTTTTAATTAAGAAAACAATTAGTCTTTGTAGTGTAGTAACGTTCAAAACACGAGTGAAAGAGTGGGTCTATATTTTCAACCATCGAATGTGCTCGGTAGGCCTACATCTTGCACTTCAAACCTGGTATAAAATATGTACCCGGTAATGACTCACATTGTACTCTTGTTATAAAAAACTAGTCTGTGATTTGTGGAGTGTAATATTTTAAATCTAGTGGCGTTGTATAAAGCTATTAAGCATTATAGCAAAATAACCACGGTAAACACAATTTCCAGATACACTTAACAGTTTGCTTGTCTGAATTAAATATGTAACATTATCTGCTTAGCTGTATATTGTTCTAGATAGAACCAAATTATAATATTAAAATTATACCTTAATGTAATTCTGCAACTCATAGTGGTTGCTATAATCTTCCAGATATTGTAAAACTTCTCGTCCAGCTGCAAATGAATTTTTATTATGGAATGGGTAATCTGGAAATTCCATGGTTTTAGTAGGTAAATTCGTCCTGAAACAAAGAAAAATAAATTGCAGTGGAACCTCGATAACAAGTCACCATTGGTAACAAGTCACCCTTGATAACAAGTCACCCTTGATAACAAGTGTCATTTTTAAATCCCCTAGAATTTATTTTATCCCTAATCACATGTTATTGCAAACCTCGATAAGAAGACAACCTTGATAACAAGTCTTATTTTATAATCCCCATGAGAGTCTTGTTATCAAGGTTCTACTATAGTGCATTATAAGCACGGCACACAGTTATGATTATAACTCTTAAAATGCTGTAATCTACATTCATTATTATATTGCATGGATTTTAGTGACGAGAATTTCTATTCGGAGAAAGTTTTTCATCATAAGTGATCTAGATCCTTTTTTATAAAAGAGGTTCCCACATATTTGGGTTAAAATACACACCTCGTTGGTGTCCCCATCTCAATAAATATATAATTGATAATTTCCACGTGTTTCTCTCCACTACACTACTTTAGACCTACAGGTTAACCTAAGGAGGACTCAGCAAACAGGCAAGTCAGAGCAATTATCTAAAACAATTGCTGGATGGCGGGATTTGAACATTCTTGCCTTAAGGACAGAAGTCCTACGCTTTAACTACTAAACCAGTCATAATCATCTTCTATAAACTAATAAAAAGTGACATGTTATTTCCTCGACTTGGAAAGGATATAGAAAATAAATCTGTGATAAGCAGCTTTAAGTTCCACATAATATTCCTCCAAAAGTTTTTTCTTTTTTCAGAAACTCGCAGCTACAGATAAATAATAATAAAATATAAGTCTTTTGTAATAGCCACTTTGTACTTGAAATCCACCATGCCTTTTTATTTTATTCAACCAATGGACATTTTATTGTTTTTTTTTTTATGTACATAAAAACCCTCTCTCAAGGACAGTTTTTAAATTTGGTCTCGAAAATTGATGGATCCTCAAAAACTATTTAGGTACTCACAGGTTAGCTATTTAGACAAAGAGAAGTAAGGTACAGAAGAAACTTTCAATATTACAATTATTGGTGTATAGGACAAAGTCCAACACCACTACCCTCGTCCTCATGTACTACAACACTCATTGCGGAGGAAAACCCTGTGCAATAGGAATTTCTGCTGAGTGCTTGCCACTCAGGCTCTTCCTTGCTCGACAAAAAGTATATTTCCGGCACAACATACTGAAACTGAAAGGGCACGGTAGTATAGGCAGGTTTCCTCTGTAACTTACTATCTGTGATTAAGTTAAGTCTGGCATCGGATGAGGGGGTTGATGTTCTAAGCCTTTAATTACCTTTCTTACCCTAAAAATGTCCTGTTTAGTAAAGTTTTTGATCAATCAAATGGATTTTTAACTATTACAGTATTGTATTTGCATCCTTCTATTAGTGAGTTAGTATATTGATATTTTAGCATCAAAAATTTCCTTTGTATTTTAGACACAAACAAGGTCAGAGCCTTAGTTTATCTTTGCACGGCTGTGAATAAGAAGTCTACATAAGCTTTATAAGTTTACAAAACATGATAAGGCTAAGCTTGTTATGCAACAATCATTATAGGTACTGTAGAGATGATTCAGTTTATCAAAGTTCCGTAACCTAAACCACGGTTTCACAGTGGGATCCGCAAAATCAGAACTAGGCCTTGTAAAAATAAAATAATTACTTAAGTCTTCTTCATCCTCGGTGTGGATGCGTTTTGAGGGTTGAGGGAAGGTTGAGAGGACGGGCAGGTAGCGTGGGATTATTATGCAGGCCATTCTGCAAGTTTTCTGAGTTTCTTTAACCTTTAAGTTTTCTTGACACACTACACCATACATATTATCAAAGTTTTTCAGAGCCGATTGTTCCTTTACCCTTTTTGTTAGCTCCTCAATTTTCTCGTGTCCTGATGCAACTGATTTACCTATGTTTCTCTCCAACTCTGTTGTTGGCTGATTGTTTTCTTTGCGCATTTAACGCAAGAGTTCTAGAACATCATTTATACTAGCCTCACTTTTAGCAAGTTCTGATTCCATTCACATACTCTTTCGACAATTTTGACAACATGGTGAACATCTCCAAACTTCACCTTCTTGTAAATAAAAATCAACATCTTAATCCGATAAATTAACACAACTACCATGAAACATCGGTTTGCAGTCCTGGCATTGGATCTTGGGGTTTCTACTGGTCACTGATTTTAAACAAACTTTACATTTACTCATTTATATTAGGGTATTAAAAGAATTTGTTGGAATTTTGTGAGCAGCAAATCGCTCCTATGTTTTTAATTTTGTAGGCATATTGGGTATCAATTTAAAGCCCTTATCCTCTAAATGTGCCTTTAGCGGGTTTGGATGATAGCCGGTTAAAGCCCTTCCTTCTATATGTTTTAAGATTTCAAAGTTTATGCTGAATTAAGTTGTCAATCATCTGAACTTTTTTCAAATTTCCATTTGTTTACATCAAAACAGATGGCCATGATACAATTTGATTTACATCCATACGGAAATGGGGTTTTTTGTGGTTTGGTGATGTTTCAGTGAATTCAAGTAAAATATTGTAGGAGTTATTTGTATAATGAAATGAAATGAAATGAAATGAAAATCGTCTTTATTCTTGAGCGTTTTTCATATTACAACATATGTTTTTCAAAACAACTCACGTCAACATAATAAATAATATAAAACAAAAGCAACTCTCAAATCTTAAGTTAGGCTAATTAAAAATTAAAATATGTTCTCTATTCCTAATTATTTTACCATTCTTCAAACCATTTGTTATATATTTTTTAAATGACTTTTCACTGTCCAACACCCCTGGCTCAGTCCTGGATGACAATTTATTCCAGATTTTAGGGGCAAAATAAGAAAACCCACAACGGTCGGACTCACAGCGCACACGGGGCATCTCCACCATGTCATCCTGCCGTGTGCATCGGGATCGCATCTCAGAGCGAGCTCTCAGTCTTACCTTCAGGTACTGAGGTCTCTCCTCTGACAGTACCCTCCGGATGATGCAGGAAGTGCGTAAAAGGCACAGGTCAGCCATAGGCAATAAGCCAAGAGATGTGAGGTCTGATGAAATTCGATCAAATTTTCGCAGATCGCAGACGTACCTGACGCACATGTTTTGCACCCTCTGCATCCGACTCATGTCTCCCAGTGATATAACATTACCATACACCGGAAGACAGTAATCAAACACAGACAGTACAAGTGCCTGCACAAGCCGAAATTTGGTGGGTTTGGGGAACAAGTCACGATGCCTGTACAGCATTCTCAGACGACCTATTGCTCTCTGGCATGCGTAACTCACATGATCAGAAAAGGAGAGCTCAGGATCGAAATGAAGCCAAAGAAGCTTGGGAGCTTTACACTCTTTGAGCGGAATTCCGCCAAGGCATACTCCAGACAGGGGCTCGGACCGAACAACCCTGCTGACAGAAAAAGTCACCAATGAACATTTGTCTCTGTTCAGCTTGATGCCATGGGACATAGACCATGCAAAGACAGAATCCAAATCAGAATTGAAATCAGAGACTGCCTGATTTGCTGGGTCAGCGTCATGCTGAAAAGCCAGCTGAGCATCATCAGCGTATGAATACAACCGACAATGACGCAAATCTCTTCCCATAGATGCGGCAAACAAAGTAAACAGGACAGGTCCAAGACAGCTGCCCTGTGGGACTCCTTTGGACTTTTGCATGGGGGCGGAGATCTCAGATCCAACTTTGGTCTTTTGGCATCTTCCGTTCAAGTAGGAGTGAAACCACGACACTACCTGCTGGTCAAATCTGTAGTGATACATCATGGCCAACAGTAGATCGTGATCAATAGAGTCGAAGGCTTGCGAAAAATCCAGCATTGCCAGAGAAGTACACCTCTTTTCAGCTCTAGCTTTTATGACATCATCACAAAGCAGTAACAGAGCAGTTGAAGTACTGTACCCCCTACGAAAGCCAGATTGTGTTGCTGGAATTATTGACTCCAACTCCAGGAACTCAACCAACTGAGAGACGACAATAGTCTCCAAGACCTTGGAGAGGGCGGGTAACACAGAGATGGGGCGAAGATCGGCCAAAGAAGAGGGAGCACCAACTTTGGCCAGAGGAATGACAATGGCTTCCTTCCAGTCATCCGGAAACACCCCCGTAGCCAACGAAACATTCAACAGGTGCGTGACGGCCTCAATACAGTACGGACTTACCATCTTTATCATGCTGATCGTTATCTCATCAATGCCAACAGCCATAGAGGTGATCTTGTTTATGGCATCTTTTACTTCTCTTACTGTTACTGCTCTAAAAGAAAATGTGTTTTCTACACTCTGAGAAATGTTATTTAAGTAATAATCAAGAGTTTCAAAGTGAAATTGAGAGCCAGTTCCCATCATTGAAAAATGTTTATTAATTTCATCTGGATTACTAAGAAATGATGGGAGTTCAGCATTTTTTGCCTTAATTGCCCCACTCATCTTAATTTTTTTCCAAAAATCCTTTGAATTTGAGCATTTTGCTAATTCTTTCTGGAAATAATTTCGTTTGGCTCTTCTAATAGCACTGTTTAGAGCATTTCTAGCTCTACAGTATTGATCTTTGTCCATGTAATTTCTAGAAATCATTAGCTTTTTCTTCCAAAAGTTCTTTTGCTTTGTGAGATATATAATATTTTGGTTTCTCCACGGTGCTTTCTTTCTAGTAACCCTTTTTGTTACTAATGGGGCATTTCGATTAAACATTTCTAAAATAGCAGTGGTTATGAAGTTTAATATATTGTTTACATCACTCATGTTTTGGACTGTGTTCCATTTAACCTGGGAAGCACACTCAATCATATTCTCTATATTAAAATTTGAAAAGTCTCTGTAAGTGATTTATTTTGCCTTTTCAGTGGTTCTGTTATGCTTAACGGGTATGTCACAAAAAGTCAATTTATGGTCAGAGACTCGGACACCACGCTTATCATAAATTACTGACATGTCTATAACATCACATCTTGAGTAATCAATCTGATTGTT